CGCTCCATCCAGACACAGCGGCAAACAGTTCAGAGTCGCCTCACCCGTGAACGACTGCACGGCACAAAAACTCTTAAAATCCTCTCGGAAACGACGAAATGACCCCCGACCGTCATACCTGGGTGGCGCGAAGTGAGCCATTTTTCCTCTTGATATAATCACGACGTCGTCGTAAATCACTGCGTATCACTTGGGGCGTGAAAAAAATCAAATGTTTATATAACAGCTCGCAGCTGATCGGTTCCGTGTCAAACAATTTATCAGGCCAAGACTGTTAGGCCAACACAACCCGGTTCGCAACCACAACCACCGCTGCCACCAATGTAAGACACCTCAGTCTTCAGATACAGCCTCCGGTCTTACTGCATGTCTCTGTATTCCTGTGTTCTCAGCTTGACCGAACACACAACACACAACCAGCCGCGCCTCCGGCCGCGCTCCACACACACACCCTCTGCCCAGCGCTCTGCTCTGCTCTGCTCGCGCGCCGACGCGCGACCGCTTCCCGCCACAGCCGGGAACACGATTTAGCCGTGCATCCTTCACGGCTCTCGGCCACTAAATAATATTATACCTACTTACACGTATGTACGTATGCGTAGGTACGTATGGTAGCCGGTAGGTACCTACGCCGTATGCATATAGGTATAACTACGAGGCACCAGTACTAGTAGAGAACCACGAACCATTCAAGAATGAAGGAACTCTGGCTATAGCCCCGTTGGGGACGGGCCATTTTGGCCCCCCCCCCCTGTGGTTTTTCCTGAATAGCAAAAAAACGGCGGCGCGCAGCGCCGCCAAATTTTAAGTACCTTCCCGGGCATCAATTTGACACCTTCACACCGAATTTCAAGTCTTAGCTCACCTTAGGTCAGGAGTTATTGAGGTCAAACTGAGGTCATGTTCGAGCAAAAATGAGCAAAAAACATGCAATCTTGAAACGCTCACCAAATTTACAGTTACAAAGCAATTTCAAAGTTCTTTATATGGTCTAGTAGACAAAAAGCGGCGCTACAAAACTGCTATCTTGGATTTTCAGAATGTTGGGTTTTTGACCCCAAAAATTCAAAAAATTGATTTTTTTTTTAGAAAAACTAAAAAAAATCAAAAAAAATCCGAATTTCGAAAAACCGGAATATATAGGGGAAGCGGGGGGAGCACCGCCACCTTAAGCATTTCTGCTCACCGAGCTGATATGCGTAGTAAAAACGAAGCTCTTTTGCATTCATGTGAAAGTAGGAATGTTTTCCTACATGTTGGCATAGTTTCCAGCGCTCCATTATAAAATTTCGCTACTTTACAAATACAGACATTGAAAACAAGTCCTGCATTTTCCGTCCTCCAAAAAATGTGCGGGTAGCACCGCCACTGATGGCGATGTTATCCATTCCACAGATCGGCCTTACGGCAGGGGCGTAGGCAGGGGGGGGGGCCACTGGGCCATGGCCCCCCCCCCCCTTGGGCGCCGAAGGCGCCCTTTGCGATTGGAGGGCGCCGAAGGCGCCCTCCAATCGCAAATGCAATTGTGATATAATCGAATCGAAAAACAATCGCGACTGGAGGGCGCCCTCCAATCGCGAATGTGTTTACAGGGAAAATACGGATGGAGGGCGCCCTCGGAGGACGCCCATTCCAAATACGCCCTCCAAATACGGTTGGAGGGCTCCCTCGGGCGCCCTCCAACCACATTTGTAGGCTGTAGCTCTCTAAGCGTAACGGTGGTCGCCTATGTAAGCCGCTGTCCTGTAAATAAGCGCCCTCTCACCCGAAGGCGCCCTCCTGTAGGTCGCCACCCTGCTACACATTGCCGCCCTTCTGCTGATCGGCGTCCTCATAATTATTGGCGCTCTTCTACCTATTGCGCCCTCATGTGAAATTTTGAAGGCCGCCTTTCTCCCTTTTGGCACCCTCTTGTTCATTGCCGCCCTCCTACCTATTGGTTCCCTAGTCCTTCCTGTTGAATGCTAATCGGGGCCCTTCTCCTATTGGCGCCCTCGTGTTGATCGCCGCCCTCCTAACCACTGGCACCCTCCTGTTGATCACCGCCCTCCTATCTACTGGCACCTTCCTGTTGACCAGCGCCCTCCGCACAGACGCCGTCCTGTTCGTGTCATCCTCTTGAGCAAAGGCGCCCTCCTCACCATTGCCACCCCCATTTTAATCGTCACCCTTCCGCTCATTGGCGACTTGCAGTTGATGACCGCCCTCCCACCTATTGGCGACCTCTTGTTGATCGCCACCCTCCTATTGGTGCTCTCCTGTTCCTCGCCACCCTCTTACCTGGTGGCGCCCTCCTGTTGATTGTTGATCGGGGCCCTCCTACCTATTGGTGCCCTCCTGTTGATCGCTGCCCTTCTATCCATTGGCGCCCTCCTGCTGCTCGCCAACTTCCTACCTATCGGTGCCCTACTGTCGAAACTCGGGATGTTGATCGGGGCTCTTCTACCTATTAGCGCCCTCCTGTGGATCGCAGCCCTTCTACCTATTGGCAACATCCGTTGATCGCTGCCCTCCTATCATTTATTTACTCCTTTGGCATGTTCTTCAACTTAGTCGTTCTATTGCACATAGTTGATGTCTTGCCTGTGAAAACTGCCACAAATGAACGTGCATTCAGCACAATGAATGAAGTACCTATACCTACCAAAACTATCTACGCTCTACGATGCATAAAACACGTCTTTGGTCTTAACGGATTGATCCTACTTTACGTGCATCATGGCATCTATATGTGTTACGATTTAAGTATTGTCAACAGGTTCGGCCGCAACAGCAGGCATCTGAAGTTTCGGTGATTGAAACTGGTTATGTGGGTACACTGTATGCACCTGTGAGAAGGCTATGAAGGCTGGTCTGAGGTAATTTGGATGATGTTTACGCATCTCGCGCTCCGGTATCAATCCGATACGGTGATCTGGTGCGTAGATATGCCACCGCCAATAAACTTTTATACATCGACACCCATGAGCCAAGCTTTCTATACAGTTTGTGTGGCAGCGGCCCGACCAAACCTTAGGTATTTTTTGTACCTTCAAATTTGGTAAAAGAGCGAGAGGAGCTTTGAACAGTGATCGTATAAAAGGCGTGCCTAAAAAGCGGAGGAAAAGGTTGTTTTCAAAAATTTCGCGCGCCTTCGGCGCAGCATTTCAAGACCACTTGACCTTTTGTGACCTGGAGTATAAAGAATACACACGATGCAAAATCAATGCAGCACGACCTATACGAGGTTACGCAAAAAAAAAAAAAACTGGTGGCATGGTAAAAAACGCCTCCCAACCCCCCCCCCCCCGTTGAGTGATTTTTTATCTCGCGACCGTATGGCGCCCTCCTTGGGTGAGGTGGCGCCCTCCAAACCCTTGGCCCCCCCCCCTTCGCGATTTTCTAAATACGCCGCTGCCTTACGGTGACAGTAACGCTACAGTAACGGTGACAGTAACCTTACGGTAGCAGTAACGCTTCCAAGGGTGGCTGCAGCCACCCTTGGAAGCGTTACTGCTGTCTGAAATAGTAACTCAAACTCATATAAGACACACAAGAGTTGGTTGTTAGTTTGTCAAAGATCAGACTGTTTGTTGCGGACAATATGCATACAAAGCATGACAAATTCACGTTTATTTCGAAACATCCAGTGAAGTCAAACGTGAGGTTAAAAACAGACGACGTTTGCGGCCTAACTAAAGCTCTTCTCCGAGCTGAGTGAATCATCATTGCGGCTTTATCCATTTTGCCACCCCTTGGGGTAGCACCGCCGAGCATGGCGGTGTTACCCACACACAGTCATGGACCGACAACGCCCCGTTAGCAAAACAAGCCGGGACGCGATTCTTCTGTAATTCCTTTCTAAACGAAGAGCACTTCATGCCCTCAAATTTAACGTAAAAATCAAGGCATTTTGACTTGAAATGCAAATGACCACTTACTTGCTGCTAAAACATGCCAAATGATTACAACGATGGTTTGAAATTCACAAAATGGGCAATTGCGATCTCAAAATCAAATAAATCTTTGCGAAACTTACCTCACGCGGCGTCCCGTTTCCGTTCGGACACCGAAATGGCGGGTGTTTACATTTACAATTCAGAGTTTTGCCGATAGAGAGGATGGCGGTGTTTCCCACATGGCGGTGCTACCCCCGCTTCCCCTATGATAGTCCCTGTGCTCTTCTATATACATACCAAATTTCAGATCGATATCTTGTTTTTTTGGCCAAGTTATAGCGAAAAAAACGGTTCAAAAATGATGACGTCAAATTTTTGAACTCAATTTTTAGCGATTCTAGACCACGTAGGGCAAAACGAACACCACCATTGAACTCCCCAAGACGAGCTGCACCGAATCGATATCCATTTTATGCAAAAATATCAACTTTGAAATTTTACCTAATTTGACCTGACCTTGACCTGACCTTGACCAAAACGTGACCTAAGCTGGCCCAAAAGTTTGCCTGACCCACATAATCGCATTTGTCATGTAAAATGGACCTCATGTATCACACGACACTTTCATATTGTGACCCCAGTGACCTGACCTCTGTGACCTGACCTGGTATCAGTGACCTCAAATAGCAAAATATGTGTTTGAAGAACATTTCCCCATCGATGATTTTCAATGAAATGCATTTTACTCGATTTAACAACGCATTTCTTGAATTCCAGTAAACGGTTAAATTTTACCTTTGACCTGACCTGTGACGTCATCGGTTTGACCTAGGTCAATAAAATTGGGTCACAAGGTAGTTCCCTGATAGGGCTATCCAATACCGTTTGCCGCTTGTCGTTAGGTCGCGTGGTTCTCGAGATCTTAGGGGGGCAAATTGCCCCTCCCCCAACGGGGCACGTTGCTCGGCAGAGCCCAACGGGGCGCGGGTTAGTGTTCATTGAGTCCTATCTTAACTTTTAAGACTTTAACTAGGAAGTGGTAGTTTAAGTTTTCTGTTTTTGAACATAGGTGTCCATTGAACTTTTCATGAAACTTCCAATGACGTCATAATACAAGGAACGTTTGTTTTGCTGAATATTAGCACATGAGGCGATTCAATCGATCCATATTTTTCTCCCTTCATTTTTCCCTTTACCAACTGCCCATCGGTTCCGCTCCCGTCGCGCCGCCCGCCGCCTACTTCGCTCTGCTTCGCTCTCGCTCTAGGGTTTGCTCCGTTGGTGCAGAAGGGGGAGGACTCGCTGGGGGTGGTCTGGTATATTCTGGATCCTACACTTTGTGTCAAGGTGAGCATTTTTACCCTGATTTATCTCAGTGTATGGAATGTAGAGAGGAGAGGGCTTTAGTTTCAGGGTTCTGTCCAGTGGAGCTCTTTTCCCACCTTGACCTTCTCATTCTACACATCTAATTGAATCAATTACATTGATTGACCGATTTTTTTTGTTGCACTGTTCATCCTCTTACATATCCTCAGCAATTTGAATTAGATCCTTTGGTTAGGATGTTGATATCAATATTATGCAATGTTCATTACGGAGCGAGCGAAGCGAGCGGAGTCTTACGTAGAATAACGGAAATTTCTGAGTATGAGCGGCCGGCCGGCCGGCCGGCCGGCCGGCCGGCCGTGCGGACGCTTTTGCGAGGCTTATATCTCAGCAACCACTTGACCGATTTACATGCGGTAATTTTTGTAGGGTAGCTTCATTCCTTCTACCAAGTATTGGACTATTCCCGATGCATGTGGGTGACCCCTTATGCACGTGCCACGTGCAAAACGAAGAGGTGTCAGTTTTGCAATTGTTGCAATATCTCGGTAACTACTTGGCCGATTGCGCTCAAAGTTGGCATGTAGGTAGGCACCCACTAGGCACTGCATGTCCATGTGCTAGAGTTGGGGTGCTGCTGCACGTGCGCACGTGCAGGGGTCGTTTTCAGATCTCGAGAACGGCTCGACCGATTGCGCTCAAATTTGGTACACAGTTAGCAACCGGTTAGTAGGGTGCCGTGCACAAGTCAGTTGGGACCCATTTTGCACGTGCGCACGTGCAGGGTGCCGCTTTCAGATCTCGAGAACGGCTGGGCCGATTGTGCTCAAATTTGGCACATCGCTAGAGACCGGTTAGTAGGGTGCCGTGCACAAGTCAGTTGGAGGTACCCCCTCGAAATTTCGCACGTGCAAGGCTCACCCTCTCGCTCGCTCCGTTAGTCGCCCCAAAAGGCGCTATACTGGTAATATGCTTTATTACCTACAGACTGTCTTGCAGTCAGTATCAGGGTATTAGTAGAGCAGACGTCACACGAAGGTTTTCCAACCAAAGAGAGGCGCTATGCCTGGAGGTACTTCTTTCTAACAAAACCTAAACAAACCTAACCTAACCTGACCTAACCTAACCTACAACCTACAACCTACAAACCTACAACCTAAAAACCTACAACCTACAACCTACAACCTACAAACCTACCCTACAACCTACAAACCTACAGCGCCTCTCCTTGGTTGGAAAACCTTCATGTGACGTCTGCTCTACCAATGCCAGTATCAGTATCAGTATGATGCCTATATAGGTAGGCAAGAGAAGAAAAAACAATCCAACCTGAACTGACCTTACCTACTTGCCTACAATCTACAATCTACAACCCAAAAACCTAAAACCCACAAACCTACAACCTAACACAACCTACAACCTAAAAACCTACAACCTGCAATTTCTGCTGCTGCATGTTCGTATCAACGGTGCCACAATTGTAGATCGGACCTTTTTCTGAACAAATACCAGAGTAAGTATCACATAACACATATTGTCTTGTAGGAGGCAGCGCAGGGATTGTCTGCCCTGAGTGTCAGTGACAGCTTAACATCATGACCTACCACATTCTCAATGAGGCCTTCAACTTCCCTGGTGTTGCTATGTGAAGCTGTTCAGTACGACCATCAGGCCATTGGTTGGAGAGGTTCGCCATATGGAACTTTGCTGCCTGCTCTCTGCCAACAAAACTTGCCACCTTGACCTGGCTTTCCCTCTGAGAAGAATGAGAAGTCAGTTTGGGAGAACTTCTTCAACCTCACCGGGCCAAACATTTAGCCATCTAACTCTAAAGACTGCAATCTTATGAGCCACTGCTTATGTGGTGTAGCTGAGGAAAACACCAGTGATGCCTGTTGTAACTTCAAAGTCAAACTCACCACAAGCGTGAAGATAGTGTTGTCATATCTCTCTACGAATGCTGTGAAAGACCATCTTCTGCAGTTCCAGCAGCTCACTGGAGCTTTTGTGGGAGTGATGGGGCTAGCTTATCAATGCATTGAAAACTATGTGAATTGGTATATTGCATATATACAGTTTAAATGTTAGAAATCCATCAGCTACTTCCTGGCATATTGAACATTTTCAACAGAGTTGCTGAACTGTCAAATTTATCCCAAACACCCTGTGTGTGTGCACTATTCTCACTATATATGCATGGAATAAAGGATGCCATTGGGTGGTCAGTTTGGTGAGTTTGGTCAGTGTGAGCTCAGTGCCCGTGTGTGACGTGGTTGCCGCTGTTGCAGCCATGCTGCACTGTGAGTGTGCCCGTGTGTGACGCAGTTGCCGCCGTTGCAGCCATGCTGCGTCTGCTGGGCGCCTCGGCCGGCCGGCTGCTCTCCGCCGAGGCCACCGCCTCCGGACAGACGGCGCGCGCCATCGGCTCCTACGTGATTCCCGAGCGGCTGGCGGTGAGTGCCTCCCGAGTCCCCGAGCGACTGGCTGTGAGTGCCTCCCGAGTCCCCGAGCGACTGGCTGTGAGTGCCTCCCGAGTCCCCGAGCGGCTGGCGGTGAGTGCCTCCCCGAGCGGCTGGCGGTGAGTGCCTCCCGAGTCCCCGAGCGGCTGGCGGTGAGTGCCTCCCGAGTCCCGGAGCGGCTGGCGGTGAGTGCCTCCCGAGTCCCGGAGCGGCTGGCGGTGAGTGCCTCCCGAGTCCCCGAGTGGTTGGCGGTGAGTGCCTCCCCGAGCGGCTGGCGGTGAGTGCCTCCCGAGTCCCCGAGCGGCTGGCGGTGAGTGCCTCCCGAGTCCCGGAGCCGCTGGCGGTGAGTATCTCCCGAGTCCCCGAGCGGCTGGCGGTGAGTGCCTCCCGGAGCCGCTGGCGGTGAGTGCCTCCCGTCCTGTAGCGCGCCATCGGGTCCTCCCCGAGCGGCTGGCGGTGAGTGCCTCCCGAGTCCCGGAGCGGCTGGCGGTGAGTGCCTCCCGAGTCCCGGAGCGGCTGGCGGTGAGTGCCTCCCGTCCTCATCACTCGGCAGGCGCCGCTGGATGGTGGGCGCTCGACATTACTGTTCGGATGTTTTTGATGGGTCTGGTGCGAGCAGTGAGGGCGAACCCCGGCGCCCCTGTGACGCCCCCCCCCCCCCGCCCCGCCCGCAGACGATCCCCGACCAGGCGGACCCGGAGTTTTTCGAGATGGTGGAGTACTTTTTCCACCGCGGCTGCCAGCTGGTGGAGCCGCACCTGGTCGACACCATGCGCTCGCGGGCGCCGCGCGACGACAAGGCCAAAAAGGTGCGCGGCATCCTGCAGATGATGGAGCCCTGCCACCACGTCATCGAGATCTGTTTCCCGCTGAAAAAGGACGACGGCAGCTTCGAGATGATCACCGGCTACCGGTCGCAGCACTCGCAGCACCGGGTGCCCACCAAGGGAGGTCAGTCCCGACCCCCGACCCCGGCCCCCGACCCCGGCCCCCCCCCCGACCCTGTCTGGTCGCAGCTCTAGCAGCACCGGGTGCCCACCAAGGGAGGTCAGTCCCGAGTCCGACCCCGGCCCCCCGGCCACCCGACCCCCGACCCGGACCACCGACCCTGTCCGGTCGCAGCACTCGCAGCACCGGGTGCCCACCAAGGGAGGTCAGTCGCGACCCCCGACCCCGACCCCCGACCCGGACCCCCGAGCCGGACCCCCCGAGTCGGACCCCCCGACCCTGTCTGGTCGCAGCTCTCGCAGCACCGGGTGCCCACCAAGGGAGGTCAGTCCCGAGTCCGACCCGGCCGCGAGTTACCTAAGTGTGGAACTACCCAGCGCCGAGCCGGCCGGATGACGTCACACCACGGCCAGTGCCGGCGCGGCGGCAGACTGGCCGAGATTGGCATGGTCTTAACTTGGCGGAGAGGCATCGGACGCCAAACTTCTGGTGTAGCTAGTTAATCACATTTAATTTTAGCGCATGGTGTTTCTTCCATGTATTATTGTGTATGAGCTATCACGTCCTTCAAATACCTGATGTGTAGGTGAGCGTACCTGCATTTAGTGTGTGCTATGCTATGTGGATTGAAAATTGGGGCACATCAGACACGCTGCGCAATGGATTCTGGTGTTGCCTGGCTGATTCTGGCTTTGTGTCTTCGCGCAAACTATTGAAAGGGAGGACAATTTTTAAAGGTTGTTACTCAAACGTTTAAAAATAAGCAACTGCTCATTGAATTTCTGGCGAGTGGTGGTGGAACTTTCTGTTCACAAATGAGTACCTACCTACCTAGTACCTACCTGCAGTGGCAAATAACTGGGTCGCGGTCAATTAGCCATTAGGCATGGTTCACGAAGTTCTTAAACCTTTATTAGACTTAAGTATGCAACATTTGCGTCTTTTCGCGTTGTAGTATCGGTTAGCAAATGAGAAAATCTGCATCTTCTCGACAGCCCTCTAGGTATTCAAGAAACCATTCCATATTGCATCATTCCAGAAAATAATTTTCAAACATTGGTATCCTCCCCACACAAAAAAAAAAACTGAAGCAGTTTCCTTCGGCTCCAATGCGCCGCTCGCCCAGGGACGCGGGAATGTTATATTCTCGGCGGTCCAGTCTGCACTCTGCAGCACACTCAAACTTGGCGGACTCCCAGCGCACGACTGAACGATTCGTATTGTTGTGAGTGACTGTGACGACAGCAAATGAATTCACTGGTGGTTTCGGAATAATTAACAGCCGGCGCAGCCCAGTGCCTCTTGAAATGAATTATACAGTAGCGAATGCACTATTGCAGAGAAGAAAATAGAAATGGACTGAGCAGATGCCCAACCACGCTGTATTATCAACTTACCATTACGCTTTACATTTTCATTAGGTAATCATGGAAACAAACGACTTGCGACCCTTCCGCCTTACATAACTCGATAGAATACCCCTGAGTCGGCTAAACTACACTGCATCTCTTCAAAGCCTAAGCATTTTACAATTTACCACTCAGCTATGCACAAGCACAGGCGTATAATTTACTGCTCAACTCCTTTTCCTCATCATCTTTTTGGCACCGTCAATCCCCATCTGCGCTATCCACTGTCCAGCGAATAAAGCGGCCGTCTCCAGTTCTCCGGCAGGGGCTTCCAAACTCAAGCGAACTCGCCGAAGTTTCGCCATTCAATGCGCAGGATCTGTACATTTGAGTTTGAGAGCCTCTGGATTGGCTCGGCGCGCCTGGGCTACGCCGTTGGTCCGGCCAAGTACGTGAGTGACGTCATGCTATGAGCGTCATCCCTCGACCAAAGTCACCAATCAGAGCCCTATAATTGACGTACAGTTCCACACTTAGGTAACTCGCGACCCGGCCCCGGACCCCAGGGCTCCGTCTACTGCGCCCCCTCTCCCCCCCCCCCCCCCCACTCCACACTGGAGCACCAGCGACATATGTACGGTCCGTCAGTTGGTCCCAGGCAACTGCGGCCCGGTGAGCCCGGTGGATGACTCCGCTGAATATATGTAGCGTGCTCCGCCGGAAACCTGGCCGGCCAGGTGCACTGCGTCCACGGTGTACGCTGCCTCGGCTGCTGCGCCGGCCGGCCGGCCACGGATAAAGGTGGCTGTCGACCACCGTCCGCTGCCTGACTCGGCCACCGCTGTCCGCTGCCGGCCACAGCAGCTGTCAGTTACCACCGCCCCATGGCTTCCGCTAGGTACCGCCGGCTGCTGGCTGCTGGTTATCACCGTCCCATGGCTGTCAGTTACCGCCGTCCCATGGCTGTCATTTACCGCCGTCCCATGACCGCTGGTTGCCGCTGTCCGCTGCCGGCTACATGGCTGCTGGTTACCACTGTCCCATGGCTGTCAGTTGCCGCCGTCCCATGGCTGTCAGTTACCGCCGTCCCATGTCTGCTGGTTACCGCCGTCCCATGGCTGCTGGTTACCGCCGTCCCATGGCTGCTGGTTACCGCCGTCCCATGGCTGTCAGGTACCGCCGTCCCATGGCTGTCAGTTACCGCCGTCCCATGGCTGTCAGTTACCGCCGTCCCATGGCTGCTGGTTACCGCCGTCCCATGGCTGTCAGTTACCGCCGTCCCATGGCTGTCAGTTACCGCCGTCCCATGGCTGCTGGTTACCACTTTCCCATGGCTGTCAGTTACCGCCGTCCCATGGCTGCTGGTTACCGCCGTCCCATGGCTGCTGGTTACCGCCGCCCCATGGCTGTCAGTTACCGCCGTCCCATGGCTGTCAGTTACCGCCGTCCCATGGCTGCTGGTTACCGCCGTCCCATGGCTGTCAGTTACCGCCGTCCCATGGCTGCTGGTTACCGCCGTCCCATGGCTGTCAGTTACCGCCGTCCCATGGCTGCTGGTTACCGCCGTCCCATGGCTGCTGGTTACCGCCGCCCCATGGCTGTCAGTTACCGCCGTCCCATGGCTGTCAGTTACCGCCGTCCCATGGCTGCTGGTTACCGCCGTCCCATGGCTGCTGGTTACCGCCGCCCCATGGCTGTCAGTTACCGCCGTCCCATGGCTGCTGGTTACCGCCGTCCCATGGCTGCTGGTTACCGCCGTCCCATGGCTGTCAGTTACCGCCGTCCCATGGCTGCTGGTTACCGCCGTCCCATGGCTGCTGGTTACCGCCGTCCCATGGCTGCTGGTTACCGCCGTCCCATGGCTGCTGGTTACCGCCGTCCCATGGCTGCTGGTTACCGCCGTCCCATGGCTACTGGTTACCGCCGTCCCATGGCTGCTGGTTACAGCCGTCCCATGGCTGCTGGTTACAGCCGTCCCATGGCTGCTGGTTACCGCCGTCCCTTGGCTGTCAGTTACCGCTGTCGCGCTGTCCCATGGCCGTCGGTCGCCGCTGCGGCCTGTGGTCGGTGGGCCGCGCGGTGGCGGACCGGTCGACCTTGGCGTACAGACGAGCCCCCGGCCCGCCCCCGCCCCGTCCCTCAGCGGTGCTGCCCCTCCCCCGCCCCGGCCCCGTCCCTCAGCGGAGCGGGTCGGCTCCCGGCCCCGTGTCGGCGGGTCAGTGGTGAGACCCGGTGCGGCCTGGGTCACTGGTAGCCGCGGGCCGTGCCTCGCCGACCGCCGCGCCGGGGCCCAGGCGCGGCGCGGGGCGCTGCTCTGTCAGCTATCTCTCTCTCTCTCTCGGTGCCCGGCTCAGCGCCGTCCCACTGTCCACGGACGGGTGATGTCAGCGGTGGCCGCTCTGTGGCCGCCGCGGGCTGCGGCGTACTGTGTGGGCGGCCCGCCGCCGCTGCACCGGCCGGCCAGGCACCGTCCGGCGCTGCCCGTTCCAGGGTACTCGCTACTCACTACCCCCGGCACAACTCCCGGCTGGGCTGTCCCGGTTATTACGATCGCCACTCGAACATTGCCACCCACCGGGTCCGCCGTGGAGTGCCCCTCCTCCCCCCCCCCCCGGTCGGCGGCCCAGCCGCTATCCGCCCGGTGACACTCCGTATGGGCTCAGTCTGTTTGTACCTCTGTGTAAGTGTGTGTTTTCATTACGGCAGGACTGTTGGCCTCTATCACGCGGCCGGGTCTGGTGCGGGGCGGACTGTGGGTCCTCTATCACGTGGTCCAGTCTAGTTCGGGGTTTGGCGATGACACAGTCCAGCGCTGTCAGCATCGGCCCACTGATAGTCATGGTAACCGGTGGCCGGCCGGCCGACGCCGGCCAGTTGTCACGGTAACCGGTGGCCGGCCGTCCGACGCCGACCAGTTGTCACGGTAACCGGCGGCCGTCCGTCTCCGGGCCCTCCGTGATAGGTGTGCTGTGCGGCGGCGCAGCGGTGGTCCGGCGCCAGGCGCAAAGGACGGCACTTTTGGCGGGACTGTCTGCTGAGTCTGCCCTGGGGCCGCCCGGTCGGAGTCAGAGTCTGCCTCTGGGCGGCCCCCGGTCGGAGTCAGAGTCTGCCCTGGGGCCGCCCGGTCGGGGTTTGGTCCCGTCGGCGGCGCCTGTTGTCTGTCGGGACCTTCACGCGTCGTTGGCGGACTCACCGGCCCCTCCGCTGCGCGCCGGGTCGGCCGGCCGACGCGTGTCTATTTGTATTGGCGGCAGTGGCAGCCGGCCAGCAGAGGACGGACGGACGGGCGGCGCGGCGCGGTCATGAGCCTCTGTGCTGCCTCCGCAGCGCCCTGCGTGTCGTGTCGCCAGCGGGCGCCGGCCGGTCCGCGGCGGCTCTGTCCGGTTCACCAGCGCGCCGCACATCTCCCGGCCGCAGCGGCGGGCTGTTTATGTTACGGCGCCGCCGCCGCCGTTGGCCAGCACTGAGCCGCGGTGGCCGTCCGAGTCTGTGCGTGGTAGCGGGGTCATTACTGGAGCTTACAGTGGTACCGTACTGCTACCGTGCCGTTGGACTGTGTACAGGCTTCCTTGAAAGTACACGATACACGTTGCGGCGGTACCGTCTAGGCCGACCGAGGGAGGCCTGCCAAGCTTGAGAGTCACCGAACCCAATGACCTGGGGATGGATGAGGATTTCGGGCAGGAACAGGACCGGAGGGGCCGAACCGATGTTAGCCGTTGGTATCACTGGTACTTCCTGTTCCCGTGTATCAGTATCGGTATCGGTAAGAGAGGGAGTATACCTACCTGCCGAGCCGTGTGCTGCCGCGGTCCCGGCGCGCCGGCCCGGCCCCCGGCGCGCTGCCAGCGCCGGCGGCGGGCGCGGCGGGCGGCGCGCAGCGGAATGGCTGCAGCCGGCCGCCCATGTGACCGCGGCTGGCGGCCGGCCAGCGGCGCCGGCCCGGCTCGCTCCGGTGACCGGCCGGCCGCCGGGGCCGGGCGCGGGTTATTACCGGGCGGCGGACGGCCGCCGACTGGTGCCGACTGGTGCCGATCGGTGCCGAGACGGACTCGGACTGCGGAGGGACGCACCGAACTACCGAGGCAGGCTCGGACAGACGGATAGATGGACCGCTTTGTGGCAGGGAAAGCAGTGAGCGTCAGTGATGGGTCGTTTCTGGAAGAACATGTCATTGGGACGTTAACCAGAGCTGGACGGGCGCTGATGAGCTCTGCAGTCTGCACTCTGCAGTCGGGGCGCCCGAAAACCCCAAACCATCGACCTCACTATACCTGAGGTGGACAAGACACGATGTATGCAGATTGCGGGTGCTTGGTGGCATTGGGAGAAGGGTGCGATGGGAACATTTTATCTGGCCTCTTATCTTGCACCGGAAGGAAGGGAACTGTCGTACCAAACTGTGCCCTCTCCGCAGTGGGATCGTCGTCACCTTCTTGCACTGATGGGGGGTGTATATAATATGGATGGATTCCTGCGGGCCCTTTCCCTGCCCTCCCCGCTGTAGACGTGCCAGACGCGCCCCTGGGGGCCGGTGTTCGAGGTCGGCTGACGCGCCCCTGGGGGCTGGTGTTCGAGGTCGGCTGACGCGCCCCTGGGGGCTGGTGGCGGGGTCGACAGACGCGCCCCTGGGGGCTGGTGGCGAGGTCGGCGGACCGGCTGACAGAGACGAACGCCACCTGAGCACAGACATGTCTGGGGGGGGGGGGGAGGAGGGGTCGCCGATCGGCGACTGCTCACACCTGAGGAGGAGCCCGCTTCCGCACACCGAGTCGGCGGCTGTCCGCCGGCGGCACACGGCGCCGAGTGCTCAGCACCGCTGCACTGCCGTACAGACCTATATACCCTGGTACCGACTGCTGCCGTACGCTGCCGAATATACCAGCGTCGTCCCTGGTTGGCTGTCTAGCTGTCTCTGGTTGCTCCCCTGTATCGCTCCTCTGTATCGCCCCCCTATATCACTCCCCTGTATCGCTCCCCTGTATCGCGGTAGCCGAGACCGCGGCCCTCGCTGTCCCGTGTCGCTCCCATGTATCGCTGGAAGGGATAGGCCGTCGCGGCTGAGGGGGGGGGGGGGGGTCTGCCAGGTGAGACGGCCGCTATTGTTGGCTGGCCGGCCGGTGACAGCCGCCGCCGTGTGCCAGCTGTGTCAGCCGCCGTGCCGTGTCAGCTGTGACACCTGTGTCAGCCGCCGTGTCAGCTGTGTCAGCTGTGACGCCTGTGTCAGCCGCCGTGTCAGCTGTGACGCCTGTGTCAGCCGCCGTGTCAGCTGTGACACCTGTGTCAGCCGCCGTGTCAGCTGTGTCAGCTCGACTGTAGCTCTGATGGGAAGTCGGCTCCCGCCCCACGGCTTGGCGTTCAGATCTCTGTGTGTAATGGGGAAACGGTTTCAATGCGCTGAACTCCAGAACTGGGATTGTTCTGTAGACACTAGACAGTCGTCGCCGCCTGCGCGGGCGACGCGGGCTGCCCACTGCCGTGGGCTGCGATTCTGAGCAGGCGTAGGCTATTCGCTGCGCTGCTGGCTCTATGAGTGGGAAATACAACCCACGGACGGGGCGCGAACTGTGAGGCCGCCGGGCCGGCGCGGTCGTCGGCCCGTTCCCGGTACCGGTGGCAGCGGAGCCGGGCCGCGCAGCTCCTCAGAACTGGTGACGTCACCGGCCGCGCCCCCGCCGCGGCGGGCGCTCATTGGCCGCCGCAGAGGCTCGCCACGGGCGCGTCAGCTGATTTTCGCCGGAGCCGCTGCGGGCGGCGCTCTCTGCGGCGCGGTCACGCGGTCGGGGCCGGGGCGCGGCGTCCGGTGACGGCACCCCCTAGAGCGGGGCGGAGATGAAACTTCCACAGAATATCCCACTTACAACACTGAGCTGTGGAAGGAATACGACTGCCGGCAGGGGCCTGATATTTCGCGGTATTTCCCAGCATGCTGCATTCCGCTATAGTGCTAGCGTTTTTGGCTCTATAGTTGATAGCTGTTCTTCACCACCGCTGGCAGTAGCGCTGCCGTTGTACATTTCCGGCGTCTGACGGACCGACGGCGGTCGTCCGGTCGTCGGTGTATGACCCATTGATCAACGTCCATTGGATACTGGCCGGTCACCCTCGCTGAGGTGGACTGTTCATAGGCAAACCGGGGACTGCAGTAGCTTGGACTATTCGTCAGCAGACTGGGAGGCTGCAGCAGCTTTGGTGACCCCGGATGTGACTGAGGGGATGAGGCGGGACGGAGGCGGGCAGGACGGAGGCGGGACGGGTGTCCTGGCGACCTTACCCGGCCGGTGCCTGGCCCGGAACCACGTCCGTCCCTGAACTGACCTCTGTCCGTCCCCTGATCTGACCCCTATCCGTCCCCTGAACAGATCTCTGTCCGTCCCCTGATCTGACCCCTGTCCGTCCCTTGAGCTGGCGGCCGTCCGGTGTGTCGGCCGCGGTACGGAGCAGCTGACTTCGTCTGAGGTCTGAGCGGAGTTGTCGGTCTCCGTCTGAGGTCTGAGCGGAGTTCTCGGTCTGTATCTGACTCTCTGACCCCGTCAGGTGTCCGTGTGACCCCTTTGACCTCTGACCTATGACCGCGCCCACCTGACCTCCATTTGACTTCAGGGTCGAATCTGACCTCGTTTTGGCATCCACCGGTCGTCTCTGAAATTCACAATCGACTCTGTCATCTGTGTGACCCGGGCAACCTCTGTATGACCTCGGTATGACCGGTTGGTGTCTGGTTTGATCTGTGTATGATGTGTGACCTCTCTGATTGACCGGGGACTATCGTTATGACCTCTTTATGACCTCCATATGGCCTCTGTGACCGGCAGGTATCCGGTACTCGATGGACGTCTATATGGCCTCTATATGACCTCTAATGACCTCTGTGACCGGCAGGTATCCGCTACTCGATGGACGTCTATATGACCTCCATATGACCTCAATATGACCTCCATATGACCTCTGTGACCGGCAGGTATCCGGTACTCGATGGACGTCTGCACGGACGAGGTCAAGGCCCTCTCCGCGCTGATGACCTTCAAGTGCGCCTGCGTCGACGTGCCCTTCGGTAGGTGTGAACCGGCCCTTAGCGCTATCACTGCTCAGAGTGAATCGGCCCTTAGTGGTCCAGTGTGCTCTGTGTGAACTGGGGCTCCTGTCAGCGGGATCGCTGCACTGTAAATTAGTCCTCTGAGTACTGTAGAAATAATATTTCAGCGTGGGTGAGCTCAGACTGTGCTCCGTGTGTGGTCAGCTCTGTGTTCTGTGTGTGGTCAGCTCTGTGTTCTGTGTGTGGTCTGCTCTGTGTTCCGTGTGTGGTCACCTGTGTGTTTTCTGTTCCCCAGGCGGCGCCAAGGCCGGTATTCGTATCGACCCGTTCAAGTATTCGGAGCACGAGCTGGAGAAGATCACCCGCCGATTCACGCTGGAGCTGGCCAAGAAGGGCTTCATCGGTGAGGACGGCGGCGGCGGGCGGGTGGGAGCTGGGATCTGAACACTGCACTGCGGCCGCTGTGCCACTCCGGGGTCTCCGGTGTACGCCGTGCGCCACTCCGGGGTCTCCGGTGTACGCCGTGCGCCACTCCGGGGTCTCCGGTGTACGCCGTGCGCCACTCCGGGGTCTCCGGTGTACGCCGTGTGGCTCTCCGGGGTCTCCGGTGTACGCCGTGTGGTTCTCCGGTGCGTCTCTGGCGCTGTGTGGTTTGTTGTCGGGCCGCTGGCTCTTTGCACCCTGTGTTCCGCCGCGCTGTGTTCTGTCGCCCAGTGCTCTGCCGTCAGCTGTGTTCCTCCGCGCTGTGTTCCTCCGCGCTGTGTTCCTCCGCGCTGTGCTCCCTCTGCGCTGTGTTCCGCCGCGCTGTGTTCTGTCGCCCAGTGCTCTGCCGTCAGCTGTGTTCCTCCGCGCTGTGTTCCTCCGCGCTGTGTTCCTCCGCGCTGTGTTCCTCCGCGCTGTGCTCCCTCTGCGCTGTGTTCCGCCGCGCTGTGTTCTGTCGCCCTGTGCTCTGCCGTCAGCAGAGCACAGCGTGTGTTCTCCGTGTTCCTCCGCGCTGTGTTCCGCCGCGCTGTGCACCTTCTGCGCTGTGTTCCGGCGCGCCGGCCGCTCTGACCCCTGTCTCGGTCCGTTGACAGGACCGGGTATCGACGTTCCGGCGCCCGACATGGGAACCGGAGAGCGGGAGATGGCCTGGATCGCCGACACGTACGCCAAGACCATCGGTGAGAGAGGGGGGAGAGCGACAGGGGCAGAGGGAGGAGGGCAGTGGAGGGGCGGGAGATGGCCTGGATCGCTGACACGTACGCCAAGACCATCGGTGAGAGAGGGGGGAGAGCGACAGGGGCAGAGGGAGGAGGGCAGTGGAGGGGCGGGAGATGGCCTGGATCGCCGACACGTACGCCAAGACCATTGGTGAGAGGGGGCCGCGGCAGGCCAGGGACTGCCAGAGGAGCGGCAGGACTCCGCTACCTCCGCGGCAGTCCGGGCAGGACCAGGGGAGTGGAGGGAGGACCTCCCCTCGTCCACCGGCGCCGGTGGGAGGGGGCTGAGAGCCGTCCGCACCGGGTGGACCGAGATCACCTGGACTTAAACGCGAACTGACTTTGAGGTCACCTGCCCATTAACCTGATCTGACCGTACCCCGTCCGTCGGCAGGTCATCTGGACATTAACGCGCACGCGTGTGTGACCGGCAAGCCGATCAACCAGGGCGGCATCCACGGCCGCGTCTCGGCCACAGGTCAGTGTGACACCCTATTCGGCCACAAGTCGGTGAAGCACCAAGCCTGTGTCTGTTTAGTGGTTCGAGTCTGATCAGCGTGTGGTGAAGGTTTCCAATATCTACACGGCTCTGTGTGTCCATGCCGTCAGCTTCCTCTGTCTGATCTGCGGTCCGTTGTCTGCTCGTCTGTCCGCTCCGGTTCCCCCTGGCCAACAGTACTACGCCCGTTTGTCTATCGGTCTCCCTGTCTCTTTCTTTCATCATCACTCCGTGTATTACTCCAATGCACAAAACGATCATGAAAAACATCTAGCTTAGTAATTTCTGTCTCTAAAAACATTTCTCTGATGTCTGCGACGCGTATGCGGTTCACGAGGCCGCGGCGTGTTCCACGGCCTCACAGGCCACTGTGTCCATCTGTCTGTGCCAGCTCTGGTCAGTCAGTCTATACGGCCTTGAGTCAGTCAGTCAGTCTGTCTGTATCTGTCCCTGTCTCTGTCTCTCTCTAACGAGCCCCCGTTCTCTCAGGCCGCGGCGTGTTCCACGGTCTCACAGGCCGCGCTCTGTCTCTCTGTCTGTCTGTGTCTCTCTGGCTGTCTGTCTGTCTCTATCTGTCTCAGTCTCTGTCCCTCTGTAACTCGCCCCCGCTCTCTCAGGCCGCGGCGTGTTCCACGGTCTCACAGGCCGCGCTCTGTCTCTCTGTCTGTCTGTATCTGTCTCTGTCTCTGTCCCTCTGTAACTCGCCCCCCGCTCTCTCAGGCCGCGGCGTGTTCCACGGTCTGGAGAACTTTATCATGGAGGCCAACTACATGTCAATGATCGGCCACACGCCCGGCTGGGGCGGCAAGACGTTCATCATCCAGGTGAGAGACGGGCCCGGCTGGGGCGGCAAGACGTTCATCATCCAGGTGAGAGACGGGCCCGGCTGGGGCGGCAAGACGTTCATCATTCAGGTGAGAGACAGGCCCGGCTGGGGCGGCAAGACGTTCATCATCCAGGTGAGAGACGGGCCCGGCTGGGGCGGCAAGACGTTCATCATCCAGGTGAGAGACGGGCCCGGCTGGGGCGGCAAGACGTTCATCATCCAGGTGAGAGACGGGCCCGGCTGGGGCGGCAAGACGTTCATCATCCAGGTGAGAGACGGGCCCGGCTGGGGCGGCAAGACGTTCATCATCCAGGTGAGAGACGGGCCCGGCTGGGGCGGCAAGACGTTCATCATCCAGGTGAGAGACGGGCCCGGCTGGGGCGGCAAGACGTTCATCATCCAGGTGAGAGACGGGCCCGGCTGGGGCGGCAAGACGTTCATCATCCAGGTGAGAGACGGGCCCGGCTGGGGCGGCAAGACGTTCATCATCCAGGTGAGAGACGGGCCCGGCTGGGGCGGCAAGACGTTCATCATCCAGGTGAGAGACGGGCCCGGCTGGGGCGGCAAGACGTTCATCATCCAGGTGAGAGACGGGCCCGGCTGGGGCGGCAAGACGTTCATCATCCAGGTGAGAGACGGGCCCGACTGGGGCGGCAAGACGTTCATCATCCAGGTGAGAGACGGGCCCGGCTGGGGCGGCAAGACGTTCATCATCCAGGTGAGAGACGGGCCCGGCTGGGGCGGCAAGACGTTCATCATCCAGGTGAGAGACGGGCCCGGCTGGGGCGGCAAGACGTTCATCATCCAGGTGAGAGACGGACCCGGCTGGGGCGGCAAGACGTTCATCATCCAGGTGAGAGACGGGCCCGGCTGGGGCGGCAAGACGTTCATCATCCAGGTGAGAGACCGGCCCGGCTGGGGCGGCAAGACGTTCATCATCCAGGTGAGAGACGGGCCCGGCTGGGGCGGCAAGACGTTCATCATTCAGGTGAGAGACGGGCCCGGCGGGCGGGGCGCGGGAGTACTGCCTCACCGACGCCCGGCTGGGGCGGCAAGACGTTCATCATTCAGGTGAGAGACGGGCCCGGCTGGGGCGGCAAGACGTTCATCATCCAGGTGAGAGACGGGCCCGGCTGGGGCGGCAAGACGTTCATCATCCAGGTGAGAGACGGGCCCGGCTGGGGCGGCAAGACGTTCATCATTCAGGTGAGAGACGGGCCCGGCTGGGGCGGCAAGACGTTCATCATCCAGGTGAGAGACGGGCCCGGCTGGGGCGGCAAGACGTTCATCGTCCAGGTGAGAGACGGGCCCGGCTGTGGCGGCAAGACGTTCATCATTCAGGTGAGAGACGGGCCTGGCTGGGGCGGCAAGACCTTCATCATTCAGGTGAGAGACGGGCCCGGCTGGGGCGGCAAGACGTTCATCATTCAGGTGAGAGACGGGCCCGGCGGGCGGGGCGCGGGAGTACTGCCTCACCGACGCCCGGCTGGGGCGGCAAGACGTTCATCATTCAGGTGAGAGACGGGCCCGGCTGGGGCGGCAAGACGTTCATCATCCAGGTGAGAGACGGGCCCGGCTGGGGCGGCAAGACGTTCATCATCCAGGTGAGAGACGGGCCCGGCTGGGGCGGCAAGACGTTCATCATTCAGGTGAGAGACGGGCCCGGCTGGGGCGGCAAGACGTTCATCATCCAGGTGAGAGACGGGCCCGGCTGGGGCGGCAAGACGTTCATCATCCAGGTGAGAGACGGGCCCGGCTGGGGCGGCAAGACGTTCATCATTCAGGTGAGAGACGGGCCCGGCTGGGGCGGCAAGACGTTCATCATTCAGGTGAGAGACGGGCCCGGCGGACCGGCGGGGGAGTACTGCATCACCGGGCCGCTGTGTGACCGCCGGCGGAGCCCCGCCCGACGGTCATAGGGAGTCCTGCGCGTGCATATCGAGATCCCCAACTGACTGCCGGGCCACTCAGTCCAGCGGTCTTCAAACGGGCGGCTCCTGCACCTGCGCACGTGCACCCTAACCCCAACCGTGATGCATGGGAACACATCCACGTATTGGCCAAGCTTCAGTGCAATTGGTCCATACAGTGCAGAGCTGTGGTAAGGGGAACTATGCGAGCGCCGTTTTACTTTGCACAGTGCACGTCTCGCGGTGGTCACCCAGACACCATATTTAGTGATACTCTGCCCGCTGCCTCATGGTGAAAGGGATGAGACTACCGAACATAGCAGACCGCGAGTCAGCCGGCTCAGCGCGGTAGCTGAGATAGGAGGGGCATTCCACGATAGATCGTACCACTTTTTTCCAATTTGACACCCTCATCTCTCGGAATTTGACGAGAATTGGTCTAAGGGGTAATCAGGGGCTCTGAATCCACCTGTAACAATTTCAGGCTTATCAGATAAGTATTTTTTGAGTTATGGTGTATAACATTTTTTGGATCTTGCTTTGCAGCGCTAAGTTTGGCAGACTGTAACTCTAAGACGGATTATTCAAATGCCAAATGTTATATAGCATTGAACTTGCAATGAAACAGAGATTAATATGTATTTTTGAAATTTCGAAAAATACGCTATTTTTGATATATGACATATCGAGTTTTCTTTCATTTGTATTTTTTGAACTTTGGGACCAAATTTTTTTGAATTTTTATTTCTTTAAAAAAATATTTGGCTCATTGTTAAGAAGTATGCAAAAAATTAGGAAGGTGTTCTTTCTATAAATGTATTTATTTTACGTCACGATAACGGTTTCGAATAGTGATTTCGGGAGGGGAGCTTACAAATGGCGTGGTAAAGCTGCCTAGTGACATCACGGGTTACTGAAATTTCAATTCAAGTCTGAGTCATCTGAAAAAAAAGTGAAAAGAGGGTTCATTCAACCCTCTTTCCTATAAGCGCGAGGGTGAAAAAGGCTGTTTGGTTCTGACATTGTTTTGGACGCCAATGACCATAGCTGTCCGAGATGAAAGTTACAGGACGCATACATGGTGTCCTCCAGAGGTCTCACAACTTGTATATCTGGGAATTTTTCAAGGTTACATGAGGTCAGGTTGGTCACGTGACATCACTGTTATAAATCAATGGGGAAATATAAAAACTGTTATTTTGGCGCCGAGAATGATCTAAAACTATCCCACGTACATGGTATCGTGATTTCATGCACTCTTTGCAAAGTTCAATGCTTTACTGTTGCATTGTTAACCTTGCGTGGCGTCATTTATGACGTCACTAGGGTCGTACGAGTTTTTCGTCAATAACTCCCGATCAAATCGAGCTAGAGAGTCGGGAAAGCCACCAATGGACTCGGGAAGACCTTCCGAATCGAATGATATGCCATATGATACCCTTTGCCCAGCTTCGTGACCTGAGGGGCTCTGACCTGACCTTGACCCGAGGTCAACTACTTAAGTTGACCTCACCCTAGCAAAAAGTATACCATTCGATGCACCTGAGCTAGGCGAACACAATGATGCCAAAATCGCGGCTCTGCGGCCATTTTTTGCGAAGTTATTTACTAAAAACCGCACCCGTAACTTCAGTCACGTGACCTGACCTCAGACGCTACCGGTTAACCTGAGACCTTAAAATCGGGTACCAATCGCTGCGACTTGTAACGGCACACACGCTCGTATTTTCCGCGATGCTCTAGCTCTATTAGAAGCGAAACGGCGTGCTGGGGTCGTATCAACCCCTCCGAAACCCATTTTGTTTGCGGGAAAATGAGGAACTTATAGAAAGAACACCTTTCTAATTTTTTGCATGTCGATTTGCAATGACATGAAGATTATTTTGAAAAAATAAAAATGTGAAAAATTTTGGGCCCAAAAGTCATTAGAGGCAAATGAAAAAAGATTAAGGTTTTTGCTCAACAATGAAATTTTTTCTTTGGAATTTTTAAATAGTAATATTAATTTTTGATTCATCGCAAGCTTAGTGTTGTTTACTTTTTGTTGGTTGCTTAACCCGTTCTTGAGTTATATGCCATCAAACTCACCGTTACATACCGAAGTTAAAAAAATGTAATGCAATATAACTAAAAAAGTTTTGATCTGAGAAGTCTGATATTTTGCCAGGCGTCTTTGGGGCCTATGCTTACCCCTAGGACCGATTTTCATTAAAATCTGAGAGATGAGGGTGACGGGCCTGGTACGATCTATCGTGGAATGCCCCAGGAGTCTCGCTAAGGCGTTACGCGCATACTAAAAATTATTGCTTTACACTATGAACGTTTCAGTTCGAGCTCGCAATCATCCTGTGACCCGCTGTGACCTATTTTGACCCGCTGTGACCCTCTGCGACCCGCTGTGACCCGCTGTGACCCGCTGTGACCCCGCTGTGACTCGGCAGGGTTTCGGTAACGTGGGTCTGCACACGATGCGCTACCTGCACCGGGCCGGCGCCACCTGTATCGGTATCAAGGAGGTAGACGGCTCCATCTACAACCCGGACGGCATGGACCCCAAGGTCAGTGTACAGGGGAGGGCACAGGGGTCAGCGGGGGGGGGGGGGGGCGGCTCCATCTACAACCCGGACGGCATGGACCCCAAGGTCAGTGTACAGGGGAGGGGTACAGGGGTCAGCGGGGGGGGGGACGGCTCCATCTACAATCCGGACGGCATGGACCCCAAGGTCAGTGTACAGGGGAGGGGTGCAGGGGTCAGCGGGGGGAGGGGCGGCTCCATCTACAACCCGGACGGCATGGACCCCAAGGTCAGTGTACAGGGGAGGGGTACAGGGATCAGCGGGGGGGACGGCTCCATCTACAACCCGGACGGCATGGACCCCAAGGTCAGTGTACAGGGGAGGGGTACAGGGGTCAGCGGGGGGGGGGGACGGCTCCATCTACAACCCGGACGGCATGGACCCCAAGGTCAGTGTACAGGGGAGGGGTACAGGGGTCAGCGGGGGGGGGGGGACGGCTCCATCTACAATCCGGACGGCATGGACCCCAAGGTCAGTGTACAGGGGAGGGGTACAGGGGTCAGCGGGGGAGGGGAGGGGACGGCTCCATCTACAACCCGGACGGCATGGACCCCAAGGTCAGTGTACAGGGGAGGGGTACAGGGGTCTAGCGGGGGGGCGGCTCCATCTACAACCCGGACGGCATGGACCCCAAGGTCAGTGTACAGGGGAGGGGTACAGGGGTCAGCGGGGGGGGGGGGGCGGCGGCTCCATCTACAAACCGGACGGCATGGACCCCAGGGTCACCACACAAAGCGGGAAGGGAGTTACGAAAGTCAACATATTGGGGCACTGAGGATAGGGTGCGGTGGTCCTAGTTCAGGTAGCTGGGACACGAGTGGCCCCGCTGATAGGTAACTGAAACTACTGATGTCGGACGCCGCCCACAGATCGAGCTGGAGGACTGAGACTGACTGTGCCTGTGTGTCTGACTGTCTGCTTGACTGCCTCTCTGCCTGCATGTCTGTCTGTCTGTCTCTGTCTGACTCTGTATGTCTGTCCACCGCCCACAGGAGCTGGAAGACTGTCTGTATGTCTGACTGCCTGTCACTGTCCGTCCCACAGGAGCTGGAGGACTGGGTCTGACTGTCTGTATAGCTGACTGTTACTATATCTGACTGTCCGTTCCTGCCCGTCCCACAGGAGCTGGAGGACTGGAAGCTGGAGCACGGCACCATCAACAACTTCCCGGGCGCGCAGGCGTACACGGGCGAGGACCTGTTGCTGGAGAAGTGCGACATCCTCGTGCCGGCCGCCGTCGAGAAGGCCATCCACAGCGGAAACGCCAGCAAAGTGCAGGCCAAGGTACCGCGGCCGCCGGGCAGTGCGGGCTGTGGCGGGAGGGAGGGAGGGATACGGTACAGTACAGTGAGTATGTGGTGCGGGTGCAGTGGTTGATGAAGAAGCGGTACGGAGTACGGACTGGAGCGGTACCGCGGGGTACAGATCGGCAGTACCGGGCCCGGGTCCCCCAGTCCCCCCCCCCTCAGCGCTCAGTCCGCGCCTCTCAGTAGTGCTCGGTGATCGGTCCCTCAGTATCCCTGGTTTCCCTTCAAAACGTACAAATCTTTCGGTCCATCAGTGTCTGTTCGCGCCCCTCCCCTCAGCTAGGCACCGCCCGCTGACCCTGTGTGTATGTTTGTGTGTGTTTTTCTCAGATCATCGGCGAGGCGGCTAACGGACCCATCACTCCGGCGGCCGACAAAATTCTGCAGGAGAACGGCGTGCTGGTCATCCCCGACCTGTACCTCAACGCCGGTACGGACCCGAGACACAGGGAATACAGCGGAGACACAGGGAGACACAGGGAGAGGCAGCTGGGGGGGGGGAGATACAGGGGAAACACAGAACGGCGTGCTGGTCATCCCCGACCTCTACCTCAACGCCGGTACGAACCCGAGACACAGGGAGAGACAGCTGGGGGAGACACAGGGAGGCACAATATGGAGACACAGGAGAGACAGGGAGACACAGAGAGCGGCGTGCTGGTCATCCCCGACCTCTACCTCAACGCCGGTACGAACCACGGCGGGAAACACAGGGAAACACAGAGCGGCGTGCTGGTCATCCCCGACCTCTACCTCAACACCGGTACGAACCCGAGACACAGGAGAGACAGGGAGACACAGGGGAGAGACACAGAGCGGCGTGCTGGTCATCCCCGACCTGTACCTGAGGTACGAACCCGGGACACAGGGGAACACAGGGGAGACAGGGGAGACACACAGAGCGGCGTGCTGGTCATCCCCGACCTGTATCTCAACGCCGGTACGGAACCGTCACAGGGGAGAGACAGGGGAATACAGGGGAGAGACAGGGAGCTAAACAGGGGGGACACAGGGAGCTACAGGGGGAACACAGGGAGCTACAGGGGGAACACAGGGAGCTACAGGGGAGACACAGAGAGCGGCGTGCTGGTCATTCCCGATCTGTACCTGAGGTACGAACTACAAACCTCGATAGTGGGAGCTGTGGGTCAGGAGTTGTGAGTCACAGTGCGGTGCCTCTGACGGTTCGTGTTGTGTCGGACAGGCGGTGTGGCGGTCTGTGTGACACGAGTTCCTGTGACAGTCCCTCCCTCTGACAGCCCGTGTTGTGGCCGACAGGTGGTGTGACGGTCTGTGTGACACGAGTCCCGTGACTGTCCCTCCCTCTGACAGCCGCTGTTGTGTCGGACAGGCGGTGTGACGGTCTGTGTGACACGAGTTCCTGTGACAGTCCCTCCCTCTGACAGCCCGTGTTGTGTCTGACAGGCGGTGTGACGGTCTGTGTGACACGAGTCCCGTGACGGTCCCTCCCTCTGACAGCCGCTGTTGTGTCTGACAGGTGGTGTGACGGTCTGTGTGACACGAGTTCCTGTGACAGTCCCTCCCTCTGACAGCCCGTGTTGTGTCGGACAGGCGGTGTGACGGTCTGTGTGACACGAGTCCCGTGACGGTCCCTCCCTCTGACAGCCGCTGTTGTGTCTGACAGGTGGTGTGACGGTCTGTGTGACACGAGTTCCTGTGACGGTCTCTCCCTCTGACAGCCCGTGTTGTGTCGGACAGGCGGTGTGACGGTCTGTGTGACACGAGTCCCGTGACGGTCCCTCCCTCTGACAGTTCGTGCTGTGTCGGACAGGTGGTGTGACAGTCACCGTGACGGTCCCTCCCTCTGACAGAGTTCGTGCTGTGTCTGACAGGTGGTGTGACGGTGTCGTACTTCGAGTGGCTCAAGAACCTGAACCACGTCAGCTACGGCCGGCTGACGTTCAAATATGAGAAGGACTCGAACCACCACCTGCTCGGTAAGCCGGCCGGGACACCCCCGCAGCCGGCCCGGCGGCCCAGACACCGGCGCTCCGCCACCCTCCCCAGCCACCCACAACGCCCCTGGAGCGCGCCAGGCCGGGGTCACGGCACGCGCTTACCGCTAGTCCGAGCTCTACAGTGCGCTGTTTTCGCCATTCTGAGACGTGTTTCTAATCCGTTGCTCTGGCCTTATCGTCCCGATTCTTACTGCTTCTGGTGTTCGCTTCCGAGTTCCGACCCTTGTTCCTTATTCCACCGTTGTCTCCTCGTGGTCCCGTTGCGCATTCCTGACGCCTTTTGATACTTGTTTTATGCTTTCGGCGTCTGACCAGACCCCGCGCCCGCCTGCCCTGCGTCCTGCGTGGCCGTCCTGACCTCTCTGTGTCTGACCTGGGTCCTGACCTGTGCCCCGGCTGACCTAACTCCGCGTCTGACCTGGCCGTTCCGCTCTGTGCCGACAGACTCTGTCCAGGAGTCTCTCGAGCACTACTTATCTCGGAACCAGTCAGGCAAGCCTCCCGCCTCTCCTACCTAACTGTTCCACTCTCTCTAACGTAACTCCTCGCTTCCCTCCTCAATCGTCTGCCTCTCTCTGCTCTCTCCGCTCTCTCCGCTCTCTCCGCTCTCTCCTCCCGTCTGCCGGCCTCCGTCTCTCTTTCCGCTCCAGTCCCTCTCTGAGGCCTATCACATCTCCTGTCCCCGACTGTATCCGGCTAGTCTTTTTCCCACTTATCCCACTATTCCCCCAGACCCACCTGGCTATTTGTCCCGATTATTGTCCCACCTGGCCCGGACTCTACCCGATCAGCAACTACTAATGTCAACTCGAGCTCGGTTCCCATCACTGTCTCAGTTCCCACCTATCCTGACCCTCCTAATATCAACCCTGCTGTCACTTAGCATGGCCCTGCACTCCAAGCCCACTCACAGCCCTGCTTGATTAACTGTGATTTCTGTAGTTAGCCAGGTAAATGTGGTCCTTCACATCGTATTTCTAGCTAACCCGTCCAGGCCGCAGTAGTGTTCCCAGTTTTAACCCGTTTAGGGGGACATTTCCACCCAGACCTGTTCGTGTTCACTGTTCACCGTGCCTAGGTGGGCTCGGCTAGTGCGCTGACTGATGGTGCTCGGTGCCGTCCCTAGAGTGTTCTGCCCTGTGTACTGCTCCTGTTTGCCGTCCCTGTGTAACGTCCTGTGTAACTGCCCTGTGTTTTGTCCCGTGTTCTGTCCTGTGTACTGCTCCTGTTTGCCGTCCCTGTGTACCGTCCTAGTGTGTACTGCCCAGTGCACCGTGATGCCTGCGGTGCTGTCGCTGCCTGCCGTCCCTGTGAACCCCGGGTGTCTGCCGAATCCCCTGCTCGCGCTCAGCGCCGACTGTGACTGCCGCCTGGAGCACTGGAGCAGCCGGCGACCGGTCAGCTCTGCGGGCGGTGGCGGCGTGTCCGTGCCTCTCCGTGTCTCTCTGCGTCTGACTGTGTTCGACTGTATCTCTGTCTGACTGTCCGTGTCTGACTCACTGTATCCGTCTGTCGGCAGAGTCCGTCCAGGAATCTCTGGAGCGACGGTTCGGCAGGGTCGGAGGCAAAATCCCCATCACGCCCTCGTCGTCCTTCCAGAAGCGGATCGCGGTGAGTGCCTGACCGCGGGTCTGTCCAGTGTCTGCCCGCGGGTCTGTCCAGTGTCTGTCCAGTGCCTGCCCGCGGGTCTGTCCAGTGTCTGTCCAGTGTCTGACGGCGGGTCTGTCCAGTGCCTGCCCGCGGTCCGCCGGGTCGGTGCCTGCCCACGGGCGGGCCCGCCGGGTGGGGACCGCGGCCCGGTGCCTGCCGCGGCGCCGGCGCCGGACCGGGCCGGGACGAGGCTGACGCGCGCCAGTAGCTCGATTCCGTGCCGGTCACTGACCGACTGTTGTGACCGCAGTCTGTAAACTGTCCGAACTCCGACTAGCAGTCTGTTGGGGGTCGAGTCGTGCTCGTGTGGACGGGCGGGTGGCGAGTGGCCTTGTGTACCCGCTGTCCTTCCGTCCGTCACTGAGATCGTCTTGTCTGTCCGTCACTGAGACCTTGTCCGTCTGTCTGTCCGTCACTAAGACCGTCTGTCCGTCACTGAGACCGTCTGTCCGTCGCTGAATCGTCTGTCTGTCTGTTTGTCCGTCACTGAAACCGTCTGTCTGTCCGTCACCGAGACCGTCTGTCCGTCACTGAGACCGTCTGTCCGTCACTGAGACCGTCTGTCCGTCTGTCTGTCCGTCACTGAGACCGTCTGTCCGTCTGTCTGTCCGTCACTGAGACCTTGTCCGTCTGTCTGTCCGTCACTAAGACCGTCTGTCCGTCACTGAGACCGTCTGTCCGTCACTGAATCGTCTGTCTGTTTGTCCGTCACTGAAACCGTCTGTCTGTCCGTCACTGAGACCGTCTGTCCGTCACTGAATCGTCTGTCTGTCTGTTTGTCCGTCACTGAAACCGTCTGTCTGTCCGTCACTGAGACCGTCTGTCCGTCACTGAATCGTCTGTCTGTCTGTTTGTCCGTCACTGAAACCGTCTGTCTGTCCGTCACTGAGACCGTCTGTCCGTCACTAAGACCGTCTGCCCGTCTGTCTGTCCGTCACTGAGACCGTCTGTCCGTCTGTCTGTCCGTCACTGAGACCTTGTCCGTCTGTCTGTCCGTCACTAAGACCGTCTGTCCGTCACTGAGACCGTCTGTCCGTCACTGAATCGTCTGTCTGTCTGTTTGTCCGTCACTGAAACCGTCTGTCTGTCCGTCACTGAGACCGTCTGTCCGTCACTGAGACCGTCTGTCCGTCACTGAGACCGTCTGTCCGTCACTGAGACCGTCTGTCCGTCTGTCCGTCACTGAGACTTTCTGTCCGTTACTGAGACCTTCTGTCCGTCTGTCTGTCCGTCACTAAGACCGCCACTCCGTCACTAAAACCGTCTGCCCGTCACTGAGACCGTCTGTCCGTCTGTCCGTCACTGAGACCGTCAGTCCGTCACTAAGACCCTCAGTTAGTCTGTGGGTCACTGAGCCTGTCTGTCTGTCTGCCGCAGGGTGCCTCGGAGAAGGACATTGTCCACTCGGGCCTGGACTACACCATGGAGCGCTCGGCACGGGTGAGTAGTAGTACCGTAGTTGTGGTAGTAGTAGTAGTATCGGAGAAGGACATTGTCCACTCGGGCCTGGACTACACCATGGAGCGCTCGGCACGGGTGAGTAGTAGTATCGTAGTAGTGGTAGTAGTAGTAGCAGAAGTAGTAGTAGTAGTAGTAGTAGTAGTATCGGAGGACATTGTCCACTCGGGCCTGGACTACACCATGGAGCGCTCGGCGCGGGTGAGTAGTAGTATCGTAGTAACTAGTAGTAGTAGTAGTAGTAGTATCGGAGGACATTGTCCACTCGGGCCTGGACTACACCATGGAGCGCTCGGCGCGGGTGAGTAGTAGTATCGTAATAGTATCGTAGTAGTATCGTAGTAGTAGCAGAAGTAGTAGTGGTAGTATCGGAGAAGGACATTGTCCACTCTGGCCTGGACCACACCAAGATACCTATAAGAAACAGGTAGACCCGATGTTCGAAAGTAAAGCCCCAGTCACAAATCTGACGCACCTGTGACATTTCCTGACACCCACGTGATTTTTGTGATAACTTCTGTTTTTTTTGCGATGTTTTGACCTTATTGAAGGTATTAAAAGCTCGAATTGAATGATTAATGTTGTTTAAAGCAGCATATTATTATAATTATATTAGTAAATTATCGATAAACTGTTTATAGTTAGCAGGTCACTTGATTGCTACCAGATTCTCTGCTCAGATAGCATCTTTTCAACTTCGATTTTGAACACTTTTTACCTTCCTTGAGGCCAAATGATGGACGGTTTGAGGCACACGATGAAACGCTGAATCTATTGATGCCAAAAGTTTACCGTTTTTTGCATTTTTAGACTAGTAGGTATATCGTGGCCCAAACTTTGACCATTTTGTGTGTAAACCCTATGGTGAATGGAAAACTTCACGCCCAGCTGACGACATTACTGTGCTACCAAATCGTGTTTGGTGGGGGTCGGACCACACCATGGAGCGCTCGGCGCGGGTGAGCACTCCGCCCCGCCCGGGACAGGCAGTGTGGGACTCAGCCGCCCAGCGCGGCGCCGCAGGCGGAACACTGTCCCGCCCGCCGGTGAACCGAGACGTCAACTACTCTGTGACCTGACCGTACCCACTGCCCCGTGATCTGAGCTGTGGCCTGAGCTGTGTCCGGACCCCCGTGACCTGAGCTGTGACCTGACCGTACCCTCTGCCCCGTGACCAGAGCCTGAGCTGTGACCGGACCCCTGTGACCTGAGCTGTGACCTGACCGTACCCTCTGCCCGGTGATCTGAGCTGTGGCCTGAGCTGTGTCCGGACCCCCGTGACCTGACACTGTGACCGGACCCCGTGACCTGAGCTGTGACCGGACCCCCGTGACCGGAGCTGTGTCCAGACCCCCGTGATCTGAGCTGTGTCCGGACCCCGTGACCTGACACTGTGACCGGACCTGTGACCTGACCGCACCCACTGCCCGGTGACCCGAGCTGTGACCGGACCCCCGTGACCTGAGCTGTGACCGGACTCCTGTGACCTGACCGCACCCATTGTGTCCCGCAGGCCATCATGAGCACGGCGTCCAAGTACAACCTGGGCCTGGACCTGCGCACGGCCGCCTACATCAACTCCATCCAGAAAATATTCACCACCTACGCAGAGGCCGGCTTCACCTTCACCTAAACGGGCCGCCGGCTCCTACCACAGGTGCTGATCTGCCGCGGCGGCCGGCTCCTACCACAGGTGCTGATCTGCCGCGGCGGCCGGCTCCTACCACAGGTGCTGATCTGCCGCGGCGGCCGGCTCCTACCGTTGGTGCTGATCTGTCTCGGCGGCCGGCTGCTGTCCGAGCGCCGGTGCCAGTCTGTGCGGTGTGAGTGTGGGCGCGCGTGGCCGGCGGTCGGCCGGCCGCCGGCGCCGTCAGTATTGTTTCTGTTTCATTGACATGGCGTGATGAGATTTCCATCTTCACCTGGCTCTGGAGGGAGGCCGTCGCACTGGGCGGTGTCGGAGAGTAACCAATACATGCACCGTCACAGGTTAACGGCGAGTGTCGAACAACCAACAACACCGTCAGTGTCGGAGAATAACCAATACATGCACCGTGACAGGTCTCTGGAGAGTGTACGAGGATAGCCACATCACACTAGTATCGGAGAATATCCAATTCACACCGTCACCGTATCTGAGAATATCCCATACATACTGTCACAGTGTCGGGAGAATAACAATTACATATGCCGTCTCAGATCTCTGGGGATTGTCTGAGCATAGCCAATACACACCAACAGAGTGTCGGAGAATAACCAATACCTACGGTCACGGCCGTAAATACTTACGGTACTTACGGCCAGGCGCAGCCTAAGAGAATAGCCAATGCATGGCGTCGCAGTGTCTGATAATGTACACCGTTAGTGTCTGGAGGATAACCAATGGATACCGTCACAGGTCTGTGGGGAGTGTCGGAGAATAACCAATACACACCGTCACAGTGTCGGAGAATAGCCAACACACACCATCAGTGTCGGAGAATAACAAATACATACCATTACCGTCAGAGTGTCGGAGAATAACCAAAACACTGTCACAGGTCGCTGTTTCTTACCCTGGCACGGCCGAGACGCGGCCCAGTCTGTGGGGAGCAGAACCAACGACCTGGGCTGGGTTCGAGCTGACCGTCGGCGCGGGGGGGGGGGGAAACGCCGCGCTCACCGTCCACCGGACATTACCCCACGTGTACAGACGACCAGTAATTGTGTCCGCAGCCACCAGTGTATTTCTGTTCCCATCGCCGCGCTGTACTGAACAAGGAGACGCCCACCGCGGACCGCAGACCACACGGTCCGTACCCCGGACCACACGACACGGCCCGTGAACCACAGGACACGGACCACACGACACGGCCCAGACAGACCCGGACCACAGGACACGGACCACACGGTCCTGACACGGATCGCGGACCACATGACACGGACCGCGGACCGCACACGGCCGCAGTCCGGACGGAGCCCCTGCGGTCGCTGCGCCGACTGACGCCGCCTTCTGTCGCTATTTGATGGAGACGCTCTTCACGGCGCCCATGCGGATGCCGAACACCTCTCCGCCATACTTCTGGAGTTCCTTCTTGGGCAGACGCACCTGTGGACACGGGTACCCAGAGGTGATATGAGAGCATGAGATACGGGCAGCACAGCGATGCTATATCGATATAACAGAATCACGTAACTAATATAACGGGACACGGAAACACACAGTTGATACATCGGGGACACGGAAACACACAGCTGATACATCGCGGACACGGGAACACACGTGTGTTCGTGCCGTGCAGCTGTGAAACATCTTGGAGTGTTCAGAGCACTCACCAGACTGCGGCGCTTCTTGAGCGCCCGTTTGAACTTTTCCTTGTGTTTGACGCGCGGGTTGCGGCTCTCGCGGCTGCGTTTGGGCATCAGCCCCTTGTTCTTGGCCATCTGGTAGGTGATGCTGCGCTTCTGGTCGGCGTCGTGTTCTGTGTCGGCCTGGTCTGTGGAGCCGGGGTCGGCCGCCGGCGCCGGGCCGCCGCCGCCCGCCTGCCGGGGACAGGGGGACAGTCAGACACGGCCAATACTGCACATATAGCCCGCTCAGACTGTACACAGTTCACACTGCCCGGCACTGCGACTCACCACTGCGACATTGTGACCCATGACCTGTGATCCGCCTCTGTCACCGCTCCTGTGACCGCCCCTGTACTCACCCGGCCCTCTGCGGGTCGCTCCTTCCTTCTGAACGGCGTCAGCGGGTTGTGACGCTCCTGGCCGGCGCGGCGCCGCTCCGTGAACGTCGGGCCCGCCTCCTCCTGACGGACGACGGGGTCACATACGGGTCACATACGGGGCACACACGGTCACATACGGGTCACACACGGTCACATACGGGGCACACACAGTCACATACGGGTCACACACAGGTCACATACGGGGCACATACAGTCACACACGGTCACATACGGGTCACACACGGTCACATACGGGTCACACACAGTCACATACGGGTCACACACAGGTCACATACGGGGCACACACGGTCACATACGGGTCACAAACGGTCACATACGGGTCACATACAGTCACACACGGTCACATACGGGTCACACACGGTCACATACGGGGCACACTGACACACGGTCACATACGGGTCACATACGGGTCACACACGGGGCACACCAGGTCACACACGGTCACATACGGGTCACACACGGTCACATACGGGTCACACACGGTCACATACGGGTCACACACGGTCACATACGGGTAACACACAGGTCACATACGGGTCACACCAGGTCACATACGGGTCACACCAGGTCACATACGGGTCACACACGGTCACACACGGTCGCATACGGGTCACACACGGCGCAGACCGCAGACGAACGACGAGAGACGGACTGTGCCGCCCTCACAACGTCGACAGTGAGCCACGACAACAAATGTCTATACTTGCAGCTCATGAAATAGAGGAAAGATTGCTGCGACCACTGACATATGAAAACATATACAGGAATGACTCAGGGTTCATGCCATTTCGAAGTACCGAGCGATGCCCGGCGGCCGTTGCCCATCCGGCACGCACCTTTTCGGCGGCCAGTCGGTGCTTCTGCCGCTCGAGGCCTTCGATCTCCATGGTGAGCGAGGCAAGCTGGCGGTCCACCTCCGACTCGGCGCCGGTCGGGGCGGGCGCCGCGCGCCGCCGCGCCGCCTTCAGTCGCCGCCCGGCGGGGGCGGGGGCGGGAGCGGGGGCGGCGGCTGCGTCCGGCGCCGCCACGGTGCGCAGCGGGACGCCGTCGGCCAGCAGTCGGCGCAGTCGCTCCAGCTGCGGCGCCATGGCGCGGTCGGCGGGCGCCAGCGTCTCCAGCAGCCGGCCGCACTGGGCGATCCGGCGCATCACCGGGTGGGTGTCCGTGTCGGCGCGGCCGGCGCGCAGCGTCACGTAGTGGCTGATGTTGAGGCAGTAGAGCAGCAGCAGCCGGCGGCGCACCGTCACGTAGAGGGCGCCCGGGCCGGCCGCCTGGCCGCGCGTCACGGCGCGGCGCGCCGGCTCCAGCGCGGCGGCCAGCTCGCCGGCGCGGCGGGAGAACTCGTCCAGCAGCGGCAGCAGCTCGGGACACCGGCGGCGCAGCAGCTGCAGACGCTCTGCGCGCGACAGGCCGCTGGTGTCGAGCGGCACCGAGAGCGCGCCGGCCGACGGCGCCGCGTCACCGGCCGCCTGCCGGCACCAGACACAGCTGCAGTCAGTGCAGAGCATAGACACGGGGTACAGAGCACCGCGGCCGGGCGGACGGCTACACTCGGGGTCAGATGCTTCACCGGTGGCCTCATCCCAAAGACATTCCAACACCCTCTCCACAACCTGCCACAGGCTGTTATGTTCCCCCAGTCCGTCAGGACGCTTCCGAACTGGAAAATAAAGACATTTGAACTTTCCACCAGCCCTCGCTGGGCGCACATCGATACACTGTTGCCGACTGCTGGCGCCGAGCTGGTCTGACGCCGCGCCGCGCCGCCGAACGGGAGGGACCGCGAGACGGTCACTGACCGGTGTGACGGAGGGACGGCGAGACGGTCACTGACGGAGGGACGGCGGGATGGCTACTGACGGAGGGACCGCGAGACGGTCACTGACGGAGGGACGGAGGGATGGTTACTGACGGCGGCACTGACCGGTGTGACGGCGGCACTGACCGGTGTGACGGCGGCACTGACCGGTGTGACGGCGGCACTGACCGGTGTGACGGCGGCCGTGCCGAACTCGAGCTGGTCGTGCTGCAGCTGCTCCGCCAGCCGGCGCTGGATGGCGCGCGCCTCGCGCTCCTCCAGCTCGGCCGCCTCCAGCGTCTCCTCGCGCGTGGCGCCGCGCCAGTCCTCGTCCACCTGGTCCGTGCTGTAGTAGGACGCCTTGCGCTTGCCCCAGCCGCCCGACAGCTCGGCGCCGTCCACCTCCTCCGCCGCGTCTGGCCAATCAGAGACGGGGGCGGTCAGAGCTGGCCAATCAGGGACGGGGGAGGTCACAGCTGGCCAATCAGAGACGGGGGAGGTCAGAGCGGGCCAATGAGACTGAATCCTTGCCTATTATATGTGAAAATATATTAAATGGAACGGAACGGAACGGAAAATGGCTCAAATTAGCCAACTGCATGATCAGATCAGATAAGGTCCGTACTACCCACCGTCCGGCCCTCCCAGCTGTCCACAGTCGTACTACCCACCGTCCGGCCCTCCCGGCTGTCCGTACTACCCACCGTCCCGCCCTCCCAGCTGTCTGTACTACCCACCGTCCGGCCCTCCCGGCTGTCCATAGTCGTACTACCACCGTCCGGCCCTCCCAGCTGTCCATAGTCACACTACCCACCGTCCGGCCCTCCCGGCTGTCCATAGTCGTACTACCACCGTCCGGCCCTCCCAGCTGTCTGTACTACCCACCGTCCGGCCCTCCCGGCTGTCCGTACTACCCACCGTCCGGCCCTCCCAGCTGTCCGTACTACCCACCGTCCCGCCCTCCCAGCTGTCCGTACTACCCACCGTCCGGCCCTCCCGGCTGTCCGTACTACCCACCGTCCGGCCCTCCCGGCTGTCCGTACTACCCCCCGTCCGGCCCTCCCAGCTGTCCATAGTCGTACTACCCACCGTCCGGCCCTCCCGGCTGTCCGTACTACCCACCGTCCGGCCCTCCCGGCTGTCCGTACTACCCACCGTCCGGCCCTCCCGGCTGTCTGTACTACCCCCCGTCCGGCCCTCCCAGCTGTCCACAGTCGTACCATGGATGAAGTATACCTGGATAGGACACTCCCTATTCCCCAACACTAGCGCCGGCGACCAAGCGGCCGCCTTGGTGGCGGAGCTCCGAAACATCGGCGGCGAGTGCGCCGGCGGCCGCCGCACCGGCTTGCGTGCTAAAAACGCGGTAATGGAGGGCGAAATTAGCGAACTTTAGCTCATAAAACACGATTTCAGAGACTTCACACATATTTTAAGTTCTTTCTTATAATTATTATGGCTCCATTTAGTCACTATCACATACGGAATCATTACCTGATGCCCATAAACTGAGCCGGTATTCTTGACTTGCCGATGCAATTTATCATCAAATATCATCGTTCCTCGGCAGTCAAACAAGTTCCTATTGATGATTTAATACAAATATCAACTTATTTTCATGTTATCGCATAAACATTCACTTTATTCTAACATTGGCTCTTCGGCTGTAATCACGAACCCTCACTTGTCAGCAGAATTTAAGCAGCTTCTTAAATCAAAACTGGGAAAATAGCATTTTCATGACATTCCTCAATTCCTGTTCTACCAGGTTCACAAAAATTTTCATCAAAATCGGTTACAGGTAAGTAATAAACGACAAAAGTATACAAAAAGACACGCTCCGCCCATAGCCCGCAATGCTAAAATGGCGGCAGCGCCCTCGCCGTCGGGAAATCCGCCGCCGCCGCCGGGTGGTCGGAAAATCGGCGGAGTGTCCGATCCAGGAATACCTAATCCATGGTCGTACTAAATACCCACCGTCCGGCCCTCCCGGCTGTCCGTACTACCTACCATCCGGCCCTCCCAGCTGTCCATAGTCGTACTACCCACCGTCCGACTCTTTCAGCTGTCCGTACTACCCACCGTCCGGCCCTCCCGGCTGTCCGTACTACCCACCGTCCGGCCCTCCCGGCTGTCCGTACTACCCACCGTCCGGCCCTCTCAGCTGTCCGTACTACCCACCGTCCGGCCCTCCCGGCTGTCCATAGTCGTACTACCCACCGTCCGGCCCTCCCAGCTGTTCTTACCCACCATCCGGCCCTCCCAGCTGTCCGTACTACTAACCGCCGTCTGGAAGCTGTCCGTACTACTCACCGTCCGGCCCTCCGAGCCGTTCGTACTACTCACCGCCGTCTGGAAGCTGTCCGTACTACTCACCGCCGTCTGGAAGCTGTCCGTACTACTCACCGCCGTCTGGAAGCTGTCCGTACTACTCACCGCCGTCTGGAAGCTGTCCGTACTACTCACCGCCGTCTGGAAGCTGTCCGTACTACTCACCGCCGTCTGGAAGCTGTCCGTACTACTCACCGCCGTCTGGAAGCTGTCCGTACTACTCACCGCCGTCTGGAAGCTGTCCGTACTACTCACCGCCGTCTGGAAGCTGTCCGTACTACTCACCGCCGTCTGGAAGCTGTCCGTACTACTCACCGCCGTCTGGAAGCTGTCCGTACTACTCACCGCCGTCTGGAAGCTGTCCGTACTACCCACCGTCCGGCCCTCCCAGCTGTCCGTACTACTCACCGCCGTCTGGAAGCTGTCCGTACTACTCACCGCCGTCTGGAAGCTGTCCGTACTACTCACCGCCGTCTGGCAGCTGTCCGTACTACTCACCGCCGTCTGGCAGCTGTCCGTACTACTCACCGCCGTCTGGAAGCTGTCCGTACTCGTCGTCGCTCGCTGAGTCGTCGTCGTCAAAGGCCAGCACCTCGGTGTGTTTGGATCGCGCGGCGGCGGCGGCGGCGGCGGGCCGGCCGGACGCGCCGCCGCCGTCCGCCAGCAGCGCGCGCTCGCGGCGCAGCTCGAACTCGTCCAGTTCGTCGCGCATCTCGTCCTCGTCCAGCTCGGAGCGCACCAGCTCGTCATCCGAGCCGGCGTCGGCAGAGGCGGCGGCGGCCGGCCGGCGGCCGCGGGTCTTCCTCCGGCCCATGGCGGCTGGCGGTCCCCTCAGAGAGAGTCCTGCCCTCTCAGATGGACTGTTGTCCCCTCAGACGGACCACAGTCCTGTGTCCAGCTGTGAACTCACTCCCTGTATCGATCCTCAGTCAGGCTTTGACTGTGCAGAGTAGCTGGCTCAGATCACCAATTGCATGATCTGCACTGGCAACTCCTGCAGCTCACTGATGCACCTGCAACATTTATATATTCTTGATGTTGTGAGTACCCAATCAAATAATTGTGAGCCAGGGGCCCCAAGTTGGCTATCTCAACTCAACTCAAAACTAATGTGAGGTGGCATGGTCATGTTAATTTTTGGCATGATTTCAAGTTTCAACTAATTTCAATAGGCAAAAGATCATAGCTTTCAGCTGGAAAAATGACAAAAAAGATAAAACAATTAAACTTAAGAACTAGAAGCATTTCAGACTTCAGATTCACCAGTGGTTTGTGGTGTTAAACAAGGTTTAAATAGGCATTCACTAAGACATTCTAAGTTTTAATGTCTAATTCCATCCAGACTCCATGGCCATTTCATACTAGCACAACTGTCAAATTGGGTTCCCGTGAAGACAGCAACAAACTTGCATCTCTAACACTACCACAATCTGTGACATCAGCTTGAAAAATGTGCTGGCAGTGTGCTGCTAGTGCTGGCAGTGTGCTGCTAGCGGCTGTGAAACACTGCCCACGTAATTGAGCCAAAATCAGGAAACTGGCACATTTTGCCTTCAAGTGACCAGAAAAGTGCCCACAGAGTCTACTGAAGACCCTCATTACAAAACACATGTCCACTTGGACAATGCAAGGGACAATGGAAATTTATAGAACATACTTTAAATCAAATTAAAATGGAACCAGACTGCTTTAAGACTGTTGACATTTACCACTAAACCAGCCACCAGGCTGCTGCCCGCTATTCCACAACCCATGTTGAAGTAATCTAGTCTGAAGCTGTGTACTTTAGAATTGTCTGAATTTATTAAAAAAAAAACTTAAAAATCAACACTGGCACTTTTATATCCCCCACAGAAATACGGCACAACATCCCCACATGTTTTCAGCATTTTCTTCGAAACAGTTGCGCAATATATACTTACTTACTTACTTATACTTATAAAATGCGGAATTTAGGAAGGCCTTTTGGCCTCTTGGATCCGGACGTGACGAGCTTTGTGTCAGTGTGTCACTGCATCAGTCGTTGGAATGTATGGTGTACTTGGCGTGAGCCCAGTGTTCGTCAAGCCTGGCCTTGAAGCTATTGACTGAGGGCGCATCGACGACAGCGGATGGCAGAGAGTTCCAGTCGTTCAGGACTCGTATGCTGAAGGCGTTCCGCCGCACTCTGGAGACAGCCCTTGGCTTGGACAGCTTCCACTCATGCCCTCGAGTTCTGGTCGTCGTCGCCGCAGTGAAGAACTGAGATGGGTCAACATCCACTCCCCGTCGAAGCACCTGGTAAACCGAGATCATGTCGCCTCGTCGGCGCCGATAGTAGAGCGATGGCAAATTCAGGCTCCGGAGTCTCTCCTTGTATGGCAGGTGGCGGATGCTGGCAACCAGTCTCGTGGCCCGTCGCTGTACCCGTTCAATGCGTTTCTGGTCTTCTCGGTTGAAGGGTCCCCAGACCGCGTTGGCGTATTCGAGATGGGGGCGAACCATGGTCCGGAAGAGTGTTGGAAGCGTAGTCTCATCAATTACTCCGAAAGATCGACGAATGACTGTCAGAATGTGTGACGCTTTGGCCACGACTGCGGCAGCCTGTTCCCGGAACTTGAGCTGGTGGTCTATCTTGACCCCCAGGTCCTTTTCCACCAACGTCTGCTCTAACATAGTGTCTCCCATACGGTACAGGTGATTGGCGTTTCGAGGACCTAGGTGAAGAGACTTGCACTTCGACTGATTAAAAGGAAGTTGCCATTTCTCAGACCATCCGAGCAGGGCATCGAGGTCTCGTTGCAAAGCCTCCGACTCTGAAGCCTGGCCGACACTTCTGTACAGCTTCGTGTCGTCTGCGAATAACTTTAGCCCTGACGAGACACAAGCGGGCAGGTCATTGACAAAGACCAGGAACAGCAACGGGCCCAGGACCGTTCCCTGTGGTACGCCACTGGTGACAGGAACCCAGTCTGACTTTGCCCCATTTATCGACACACGCTGCTGTCGGTCAGTCAAGAAGGCCCTTATCCATTCGAGCAGCCGACCCCTAATGCCGCAGGATTGGAGCTTCAATAACAGGCGCTGGTGAGGCACATATATATGTAGCATTCATAAGCGGCAATCCTTCGGTGTCTTTGATCCGCAATATTGACAGCTGATTTTCTCAATGCAGCTACCTTTTTTCAAAAAAAAAGTTTAAAAGTTTGTTCAAAATTTTGTATATTCATGTTTTACTCCCAAAAATACGTCAATAAATCGGTAATTATTGGTTCAAAGAGCTCTTTTGACGTTTATCAAATGAAAATATATGTAGAGTTCTTTCGTTAAATTGATGCCTAGCATCAGCTGTTCGTTTTTAAAATGCATGTGTGCAGTCCCAAGGGCAGTCCAACAAGTTTACCCCCGCGTTCGATGTCTCTCGGACGACGAAGATTCTACGTCGTCCGACCAATCCCTTCCAAGGTCAGCGGGGGCTCGGCTGCGGTTATAGAACGTGATTGGCCGGACGGCGTAGAATCTTCGCCGTCCGAGAGACATCGAACGCGGGGTACGTTAGGGGGTTTTGCGGAGTTGTGGACCGTGTGTCGGAATTGGTGCTTGGATTTTAGTCAATTGTTTTTTCTTGGAATAGTTGAAGCATTCAAGGTGGTAATTAGTGGCTTAAGGACCAAATAGCAGGAAATTGGAAATTGTATTTATTAAAGTTAATTGAGCAATTGCATACAGTAAAAATGACAGATGGCAGAGTCTGTGAAACTCCAGCATGCAATAAAAGTGCAAGTCTACAGTGTCCCACATGTTTGAAGAATAACTTACCACCTACATTTTTCTGCTCTCAGGTTCGTTGTTACCTGGTTTTCAGAGTGTCCTACTGGAGAACTTCTGTTTCGTAACTTGGTGGCCGAAAGTTTATGTTCAAATGACCTGAGGGCTGTTCACGGGCCCTGTGTGCGGTCGGACTGCACACAGCCTCCAAGCTCCGCGCACTGTGTCCCTATGTCAGCCTTCCGTCACCGCACACAGTGATCGCTGTGGCCGGTCGGAACTGGCCACAGCGGACCGTCCACCAAGCGCAGCCGTGACGTCAGAGCCGCCTACCCATCCCCTACCCCCATGCTTGCTGGACGCACCGCACACACCGCACGCGGCAGTGTGCGGTGCCCGTGAACAGCCCTCAGAATTGTCTTATCCGATTCCTGTCACCGTTGGATCCAGAAAGGCGAATTTGGATGCTGCAGGGGCTTCCTTCCAAGAAGTTTCTCCTTGTTTCACAAACTGAGATTCTAGTCATTATGCACTGTTGTGCAGATTAACCCACACTGTGTGGGGGGTGTTAATACAACCCCATTAGGTTTTTCGCAAATATCTAAAAAAAAAAAAACAGTGGCACTGCAAGCAGTTTTAGTGCGCCTGTTCATACATCATTTCTGCACATGTTGTGAAAATTTCAGACCCGGGTAGTTCAAGGTCAATATCAGGTCACAAGGTTACATTGAGTGACTGTACATACTACATCAGAAAAAGTTCAAAGGCTCACTAGATAGCTACACCGACTGAATGATCACTATGAAGCATTCAGTGATTGATATGAGCAGTGGTATGTATAAAATGTTTGTCTTGGATTTTTTATATTTGTGACCTAAGGTCAGCTCTTGAGTCTTGACCTTGACCTGAGGTCAAATTTTCAAAATGACCTTTCAAGGTCAACTTATAGCTCATTCGACGCGTCTCAACGAAAGGAACACGATGCTGCTAAAAGTTATGTCGTGGCTCTCGTGAGTCAAACGTTATTGCCGAAAAACATTTTTCGTGAAAACTGCTATTTTTTACAGTTTTTGCCCTCTGGAGGCTAAACTGTTGACCTGAGATCAAATCTGAGGGCAACACTCAGAAAGGTCTGTAAAAGGGCTATTGAATGCGCTTTCCCGCGGCGATGTAGCTCTATTGGTTTCCAAGTTAGCCATTGGCAGTTTCCAAAATTATTTAAATGGACTAAATTTGACCTTCGATGACCTCTGGTGACCTGACCTTTGACCTGACCTAAAAATGAATGAGGTGTTTCCATCATTATTTTTGACGCTCTTTCGATTGCCGCTTACTTCGTGTCGCTACGTGGCCCAGGAGCCGAGTTATAGGGGGGGGGGGCGTGAAAACGCCCTCCCCCCTAGCATGACACGTAAAACACAAGCCACCAGCACGGCGCAGGTTAAAACAATTCATTCCTAATGAAACTTTTCAGTTTTTATTCTATTTAAACTAAAATGCCTCAATTTATGGTAAGCGGCTAATATTTGCCCCTCCCCTGGATCTGCTAGTGATTGCTATATCAATATTAATCCAGCTGGCAACTGGCAAGAGAGGGCTATGCAATACCTGGGAGGATGGTGCGAACATCTGAGCATTTGTTCAGAAAAAGGTTTGATCTACCATTGTGGCGCCATTGATATAAAAATGCAACAACAGAAATTGTAGGTGTAGGTTTGTAGGTTTTAGGCTGTAGGTTTGTAGGCTGTAGGTTATAGGTTTGTAGATTGTAGGTTGGTAGGTTGTAGGTTGTAGGTAAGTATTGTAACACCCGTCGTGTTCAGATCTTAAGTATATTTCGGCCCGGCTGTCACAACATCCACTGCAAAGCAAGGGGGCCATGCATTAGCATGCAGGAGACGTGCACACTGCAAAGCATGCGCCGGCACACAACACACATGGACACATCACATTTCTCCCCGCCCGACAGCATCCGTACCGCGTCGTAAGCACACACACGAAGCGCAAAACATCGAAACGGTTAACGATTAACGAATCCAGTCTCCGAACATATCTGGAGGACGTCGTGACCTACCACTCCTGCGTACCCCACTATCAGGCTCTGCAACTGGCAATAAAATCGAGTGGCTCTCAGGGACAGCCCGCGAATCTCGTCTCTCCTCGTGGGGCACAGCAGAGTCACTTGGGCCTCCAGCTGATTCCCCTTGCTCAGAAGGAGCCAGCGCATCCCCAGACTCACCTTCAATGCCTGGGATCGACTCTGTCGCGTCAACACTCTCCGGCTGAAGCGAAGACGGGGTCCCATCAGGTATCGGACCACCGCCATGATCATCATCATCGAGTTCCACATCACGTGGAACAGTCTCAGAGGAAGCACCCGAACCACGGATGTCCAGAGACTCCGAAGCAGAATCCACTGGTAAGACCACATACTCTGGCTCTACGTCATCATGGACGTCGTCATGGCCACCGGGAGAACTCCCGTCCCCCACAGGGCTCCCCGGGGGCGGACGACGATCGACGGGCTGATCGACAATGCTCTCACTCTCATCATTGTAGGCCTCATCCTCTCGGACGACACACGGTTTGATCCTGTCGTGGTGGACCACCAGCGACGTCCGCTTGCCGGCGACCGCCAACCTAATTCGGTAGGTTTGCGGTGACAACACCTCCACGATCTGGTACGGACCTGTCCATGGCCTCTGGAGCTTGGGAGACAGTCCCTTCTTCCTTACTGCGCGATGCAGCCAGACAAAGTCTCCCACGATGTACTGCGTCTGGTTCGACACAGACTCGTTCCTCTCCGCTCGAAGAGCGGCAGCACGTTTGATTGCGTCGACCACCTTTTCTCGAATCTCAGCTAGCTCGGACGCCGAACAAACCCCATCAGCTGGGCAATGTTCCGCCCCACAGGCCACGTCCAGCGGGAGTCTGGGCGACCGTCCATGGAACAACTCAAACGGAGCAACCCTAGTGGTTTGGTGCTTACTCGTATTGTAAGCGAAAACCACCTTCGCCAGAAAGAGGTCCCAGTTACGCTGGTTGTCCGCCACAAACATCGCTAGCATGGCACACACAGTTCTGTTAAACCTTTCCACCTGTCCATTCGATTGTGGATGGTAGCCGCTGGTTCGGGACTTCTCAATACCCAGGTGAGCACAAACTTCCCGAAAAAGACGACTCTCAAAATTTCTACCCTGATCGGAATGGATCACTTGAGGGCAACCGTATCTGCAAAACAACTCCTGAACAAGAACCTCGGCAACAGTGCCAGCCTCCTGATTGGGAAGAGGGAACGCCTCAACCCACTTCGAAAATCCACAAGTGACGACAAGTATGTACTTGTTGCCTCTGTCCGACTCCGGAAAGGGCCCGGTGATATCGGTGGACACCCACTCCCATGGACGGGAGGGGACCGGCATCTTTCCGAAGGAGGCCCGGTAAGGACGAGTTGGACTCTTTCTCTGGGCACAGAGGTCACAAGACTTGACATATGCCGTAACGTCACTTGCCAAACTTGGCCAGAAGAATCGTTCTTTCACCCTTTCAAGAGTTTTCGCGACACCCAAATGTCCAGACCAGGCGCTATCGTGTGCCTCTGACAAGACCTCCTGGACCAGCCCAGCAGGAATCACGAGCTTCCTTCGGCCATCGCTGCTGGCGTACAGCAGCCCAGAAGACGCGTCCACCTCTAGGGCATCACGGACACTCAAGAGACGTCTCAGCGACGCCGAAGGGCTAGCTGGAAGGGGCACATCGTACAACAAGCAAACAATCAACTGAAGAATGTCCCGATCACCACGTTGAGCTACAAGCATTCGAAGCTCGTCCGGTCTGAGCTCTATGTGTCGTACACTCGGCTCAACAACCGACCGGGACAGGGCGTCTGCGTGAGGAATGGCACGACCAGGGCGGTACACCATGCGGTAAGGGAACTGCTCGAGCTCGAGAATCCACCGAGCGAGTCTTCCTCGTGGATCTTTGCAGCCACGGAGGAAGGTCAGAGGACAGTGATCAGTCTGGAGAATGAACGGGCGGCCCTGTAGGTAAACAGCAAAATGACGGACAGCCCAAACAACGCCCAGACATTCCCGCTCTGTCGCGCTGTACCGCGCCTCAACCTTCGTCAAGCATCGACTAGCGTACGCCACTGGCCTTTCTACACCACCGATCCTTTGAGACAGAACGGCTCCTAAACCAATGGCACTAGCATCCGTCGTTAGCACAAATTCCTCGTCAAAATCAGGGAACGCCAGCACTGGCGCTGTGGTAAGTAACCGTTTTAAGTCACTAAAAGAGGCTTCACATGAGTCATCCCAGGAAAATCTAGCTCGTTCTTCTGTGAGTCTCAACAAAGGTTTCGCCACTGTGGAAAACTCGGGAATGAATTTCCGAAAGTAGCTCGCAAGACCAATGAACCTTCGCACATCATGCACGTTCTGAGGTCTGCTAAAATCGCGCACGCAGGAAACCTTGTCAGGGTCCGGGGCCACACCACGACTGCTGACTATATGCCCCAAAAACCTAACCTCCCGCCGAAAAAAGCTACACTTTTTCAAATTGAGCTTCAGATTTGCGCTTGTCACAGCATCCAGAACGTGATCGACATTCAGCAACGCCTCATCAAATGACTTTCCAAACACAATGACATCATCGAGATAAACCAAACACTCTTTCCATGTTAGCCCGGCAAGCACGGCCATCATCAAACGCTGGAAGGAGGCAGGGGCCCCCTTCAAACCGAACGGCATTCTCAGAAATTCCCAAAGGCCTGTGTGAGTCGAAAAAGCAGTCTTTTCCATATCTCGCTCATTTATGTCCTGCTGCCAGTATCCGGACTGCAAATCAAGAACGCTAAACCACACCGAGCCAGACAAAGCATCAAGGCAGTCCTCTACTCGAGGCAGTGGGTGGGAATCGCCATGGGTAACATCGTTCAAACGACGGTAGTCTATGCACAGTCGCAAAGACCCGTCTTTTTTACGTACCGGTACGATCGGGGAGCTCCATGGGGAACAGCTCGACCGGATGACCCCATCCCGCTGCATCTTCTGGATGGTGTCCTCCACGTCACGCCTGTCATTGACGTTTACCCTCCTCGGGGGCTGCGACACAGGCTCAGCGCCCTCCACCAGTGGGATGGCATGCTTTACAAGACCACACTGTCCCAGCTCGCCATTCAAAGAGAAAGCACGCTCGTGGCGCATGAGTAAGTCGCGCAACGCATTCCGCTGGCTGTCTTCTGACAAATCAGAGTCACGAATCAACGGATCCACCCAGTCACAAGACGCATCACTCACATCGACGCCAGTGTCACACAAGCTCGAATCAAACGCCAAGCGCGCCACTACCGCGTGGCTCGGCAGGCGCACCTCTCGAGACGTAGGATTTAGCAACATCACTGGAATCAAGCGGTCAGGGGGAACCGTCGTCATAGCTCTCGCGCACATCACAGTATGGCGCTCGGACAATAGGTCACTGAATTCCACGACCACATTACCGCTAACACCCGGTGGCACCGTACACAATACCACACTCTGATGCTTAGGAGGGATGCATACTTCCTTTGACAAACGAACACAATCTGCCATCTCAGAAACATTGCATCGACGCACGCTGACAGTACTGGTTGAGAAGTCTATCGAAACAGAAGTACCCAACCTCTTCAAAACATCCGTTCCCAAAATACAGCTAGGAGCCAGGTTACGCACCACGTACAGAGGCTGGTCACGCAATGTTTGCTCACCTACAGTGACATCACAAATAATTACACACATGAGATCCAGGGCGCTCCCATCCACCGTGACTGGCTGTCTCACTGGAGGTATCTTCTTAACATCTAAACCTGATATCACCTCCGATGAAACAACACTACATTGAGCACCCGTGTCCAAAAGCCACTCCACCCTGCGATCGTCCACCGCGCCCGACACGAACACCTCAGCGCCATCACGACCTCCCATCCTCGAAGCTGAAGACACCTGAGCACTCCGACCATCAGCAACGCGCCCCGCACGCGCAGCCGCGAGCGCGAACGGCAGCGCACGCAACATCCCCGCGCCCCTAGCGGGAGATGCACCCGGAACTGCAGACAAACTCGCCGCGCAGTCCGCCACAGGCAATGCAGCACTCGCAGACGGCGCCGCCACCCACGGAGACGCAACATCGGCAACAGACGGTACCCCGACCGGCGCACTCCCCGAAGGCGGGGTCCCCGCCGGCGACAGCGCAGCAGCATCCACAATCGGCGGCGGCCCAGCCGGCGGCGGCGGAAACGTGACATCGGGAGGCGGAATCGTGACGTCCGGAGGCCGCAAAACACCTACGATGGCTGGCCCCCCAGCGGGCGCGGGCGCACCCAGCTCCGCCGACGACGACCAGATCGGCGGCGAGGCAGCGCCAACGGGACGCGCCCCAGACGACGGCACCGACGCAGCGGCCCCCGGCGGCCGCGCACCAGCACCCTCAGGCGACTCCCAAGACGGCAGCGGCGGCATCCCAGTCGGCAGCAACGGAACGGCGACGGCCGGAGGCGGCGACGCAGCACCGGCATGCGGCGCCCCCACCGGCGGCCACGCCATCTCCACCGGGTCACCCCCGAAAGGCGGCGGCCGAGCCGGCAGCGGCGCACCCAGCCCCGCAGGCGATGACCAGACCGGCAGCACCCCCGCAGGCGGAAGCGAGGCAGCAGGCGACACACAGGGCCACAGATGCGGTCCACCGACGGCGGACGGTCCCCAAATCGGTGGCGCCAACACAGAGTCCACAACCGGCGACCGAAACGGCGGCGCACGCAGTCCCGCAGAAGACGGCCGGACCGACGGCAACCCCGCCGGCGGCAGCGACGCAGCGCCGACAGGAGGCGACGCAGCGACAGCAGCGCCAGAGGGCCGCACTCCAGACGACGACGCCGACGCAGCGGCAACAGGCGACGCCCAGGCCGGCGGCGGCAGCCGAGCCGCGACATCGCCGTCCTCCCCACAGCGATGAAAATGTGGGGGCATATCAGGAGCAGCCAAGGGCAGCGCGACAGGCAGCCCCGCACCAGTCGCGCGCACTAGAAATTCGCACAGCCTCTTGCAAAGTGGCCCGGCTGTTGACACTTAAAGCAGACAATCTGCTCCTTCTTCCCACTGCTCTTCTTCGGGCACTGACGACTCCAGTGTCCTTTCTCACCACAGATAGGGCAAGGATTCTGCGGTTTGGTCGCGCCCCTCTGATCGACGCCCCTCTGAAGACTGTCCACTTTCTGTTCCAGAACTGATACCGCCTCAGTCAGTTTCTGAAGCTGGGTCTTCTCTGAGCATGCAGCTTGAGGGGTGTCCGACGCCACAGCCCTCACCAGCGATGGAGCCAAAACCCGCTCCAACCTCCTTGCCCGGGCGATCAATTCTCTGTACGATTCATGCTCCCCAGCTCCCACCAACAACTGTACTCTCAGAGCTTCAGCCAGACCACCATTGATGAAATGTGTCTGACACAGCTTCTCAAGCTGTTCAGATGAGAAACTAGGATAGGCCTTGCGACCCAAACTCTTCAATGCTTCACCAAAATCCAGCAATGACTCACTCACTTGCCTCCGTCTGGATGCAAACATTTGTGCATAGTCCGATTCCAGAGCGCATGTCCCATACTCCTTCTCCAGAGCCAACTTCAGTTTTGAAACAGTGTCTCGCTCTTCAACTGGGAGGCTACGATAAAAATCGAACGCTGCACCAGTGAGGGCTGTTGGTAGCTGCAGGCCCTGTACAGCCAAACTCCAACCATTAGCACGTGCAACCACCTCGAAGTGATCCAGGAACCGATGGACATCATCAATGCCATCAAACTTCTCCAGTCGAGCATGTCCAACAGCTTGTGCACCCAGGTGGGCCACCTCCTGCTTTGAGTCAGGCATTCTAACGTCGTTAGTTGACAGTTGCACTGAGGTTTGCACCAACACCCATGCAACAATCCCTTCGGAAACTTGGGTCCCAAGCCGGGCCGAAGGCTGCCACCAATGTAACACCCGTCGTGTTCAGATCTTAAGTATATTTCGGCCCGGCTGTCACAACATCCACTGCAAAGCAAGGGGGCCATGCATTAGCATGCAGGAGACGTGCACACTGCAAAGCATGCGCCGGCACACACAACACACATGGACACATCACAGTATGTATAGTTAGGTCAGGTTTGATTGCTTTATTTCTGGTATTTTTGCCACATGTAAGTATCATATATGGATTCAGGATGTCAAATAATGTAAGAATATGCAAAATTTATGCTGTTAAAGTGTATAAGAGTTTTTCTGAACATTTTCCAACATATGCCTGCAATATCCTAAACTTTGAATGCAGATTATCATCAGTTAACTGGTCTGGGGTTTAGAGAAGGTGAGATAACCACAACAAATTTCATTTGCTTCTTAAAATATACAGGGTGTTTCATAATGAATGTCAATTTTAAACTGGGGAGTTCAAAAAGAAAAAATGTGTCTAGCACGTGCAAACTTTCAAGCATTGTTGGAAATTGATGGACATTTTATATAAATAGCATTCAATGCCAAAGTTGTTGTCATTCTTTTTTCAGAACCGGATATGTCGGGTTCACCTCGCGGCTCGCCGTGCTCAAATGATAAATACGCCATTTTCGAAAGAACAGCAGGCGTGGATAGTGCTACAGTTCGGAAGCCTTAAGAACATCTCCAAATTTATGAGAAAGTTTCGGCTTCATTTTAGAGTTAACCCTTCACTTTAAAGTTCACTTTAGACTTGAGCAAGACTTCGTTGACTCCCCCATGGACTGCGAAGAAGTGCTCCGGGCCGTGCGCCATATCCGTGGACGGGACCGAAAGTGCGTTGATCTTCACGGGGCTGTGGTGGAACCGTTTGTCTAGATAGAGAAAAGTGAACAGACAAAAATCAAATGTCCAAGTCTTCTGGTGTATGTGAATCTAAAAATTATGCAAATATATTGTTTTATATGGCTAATATGGCAAATTTAAAATTGACATTCTTTATGAAACACCCTGTAGACATAGTTTAGTAGAATTATCGACAACCTTGTTTTCAGAAAGTGTGGTGTTGACAAAGCTATGTAATCCTTGTCGTTTATATGTCAAATATTGTCATGTTTCAGGAATGCTTCAAATCCAGCTGGAAGGATCACAAGGCCGTCCACAAAAAGGGTGAGCCCTCGGCGCCTGGGGGGGGGGGGGGCGACCGTGGCAGGGCGGGACTGCTCTGAGGGATCTGGCACCCAAATAACCAGCTTGGTGGAAGTGGAAACCATTTTTGTATTTAAGTATCTGCAGGTGGTGAATTATCTTAACATACTCCAAATCTAAGCCTGCTGCCTCTCTGTAGCTTCTTTATCATGGTAGAACTTTTTGAGTGGGTGCACAATCCAAGAGAATCCAAATGACAGTTTGCCTAGCTGGGTATTTCGGTACAAGAGGCCCCTTCTCGGTGGGAGTTGGGCGTCTCCCCTGCGTGTGTGTACTGTCCGTGGAACACAGTCCTCCACCCAGTATCCGACAGTGTATCGTCCGGTGGTCTGACGTGACGTGCGCGTGGTGTTTGGTTTTGTTTGGAATCTCTTTCACGAATGTTTGTGACGTTCATCCGTTTGGTGTTTGTTTGTGGCGCCCATCTGGTGTTTGTTTGTGATGGCTGTCTGTTGTTTTTTGTGATGGCTGTCTGTTGTTTGTGACGCCCGTCTGGTGTTGTTTGTGACTAGGTACTGTCTGGTGTTTGTTTCAGCCGAGAAGAGGGACAGTGACCGGTACAACCCGTGGCCCAAGTACTTTTTCACAGGTGAGTGCCGCCACCGCCACCCACAGCCGTGGCATTCGTTCAGCACGCCCAAACCGTGTGAATCTACCGGTCAGACAGCAGCGACTGTAAGCTGCTGGCTGGCTCTCACTGGAACGCGCAGTACCAAACTCGGGCCTTTCTGTTGATATAGGGACGTTTTGGATGGCAGTTTGCTCTTGCTTAGTGTAATCCGTTGACTGAAGTTAATAGTTGCGCTGCTGATGGGACTAGTTCGTTATGTATCGTGCCAGCGTGCATCTCGATACAGTGGCCAGACGCCGAGTTGCCGGCCTTCCCAGGCACCACGGCAGTACAGCGGGCGGGGGTTAGTTCCCACTCTGTCCGCCAGGGGCGCTGTGCTGTCATTGTGGGCGGAGATTAGTTCCCGTTTTCTCCGCCAGGTGCGCTGCGCCCGTTCCCGGTCAGCCCCAAGAGAGAGGTGCCGGAGAGCATACCCCGCACAGACTACGCCGACCACCCGAAAGGTAACAGGGCCGGCCGGCCGGCCGGCTGTGAGGGCGCCCGGCGCCGGTCCGCAGTCGCTCCGTCACTGCACGTCGGGCCGGCCGCGCAGGGTCAGGGCGACGTGCGCGCTGTAACTGCACTCTCCTAAATGTGCAATCAGTTGGCTATGTTTGTGTGCGTCGTTGCTCTTTTAGTGTATGGTGTTTGTACTTTGTACTGTGTATGTGCTCGTTGTGGCCAGAGGCCCTGCCTCAGACGCTGTTCAGTCGCTCCTGCCGCCGCTGTATCTGTTCAGTCGCTCCTGCCCCAGCCGCTGTTCAGTCGCTCCTGGCTCAGCCGCTGTTCAGTCGCTCCTGCCCCAGACGCTTTTCAGTCGCTCCTGCCCCAGCCGCTGTTCAGTCGCTCCTGCCTCAGACGCTGTTCAGTCGCTCCTGCCTCAGACGCTGTTCAGTCGCTCCTGCCCCAGACGCTTTTCAGTCGCTCCTGCCCCGAAGCTGTTCTGTCGCTCCTGCCTCAGACGCTGTTCAGTTCAGTCGCTCCCGCCTCAGACGCTGTTCAGTCGCTCCTGCCTCAGACGCTGTTCAGTCGCTCCTGCCGCCGCTGTATCTGTTCAGTCGCTCCTGCCCCAGACGCTGTTCAGTCGCTCCTGCCCCAGACGCTGTTCAGTCGCTCCTGCCGCCGCTGTATCTGTTCAGTCGCTCCTGTCCCAGCCGCTGTTCAGTCGCTCCTGCCTCAGACGCTGTTCAGTCGCTCCTGCCTCAGACGCTGTTCAGTCGCTCCTGCCCCAGACGCTGTTCAGTCGCTCCTGCCCCAGACGCTGTTCAGTCGCTCCTGCCGCCGCTGTATCTGTTCAGTCGCTCCTGCCCCAGACGCTGTTCAGTCGCTCCTGTCCCAGCCGCTGTTCAGTCGCTCCTGCCGCCGCTGTATCTGTTCAGTCGCTCCTGTCCCAGCCGCTGTTCAGTCGCTCCTGCCTCAGACGCTGTTCAGTCGCTCCTGCCTCAGCCGCTGTTCAGTCGCTCCTGCCTCGGACGCTGTTCAGTCGCTCCTGCCTCAGACGCTGTTCAGTCGCTCCTGCCCCAGACGCTGTTCAGTCGCTCCTGCCCCAGACGCTGTTCAGTCGCTCCTGCCGCCGCTGTATCTGTTCAGTCGCTCCTGCCCCAGACGCTGTTCAGTCGCTCCTGTCCCAGACGCTGTTCAGTCGCTCCTGCCGCCGCTGTATCTGTTCAGTCGCTCCTGCCCCAGACGCTGTTCAGTCGCTCCTGTCCCAGCCGCTGTTCAGTCGCTCCTGCCTCAGACGCTGTTCAGTCGCTCCTGCCTCAGACGCTGTTCAGTCGCTCCTGCCTCGGACGCCGTTCAGTCGCTCCTGCCCCAGACGCTGTTCAGTCGCTCCTGCCTCAGACGCTGTTCAGTCGCTCCTGCCCCAGACGCTGTTCAGTCGCTCCTGCCCCAGACGCTGTTCAGTCGCTCCTGCCGCCGCTGTATCTGTTCAGTCGCTCCTGCCCCAGACGCTGTTCAGTCGCTCCTGCCTCAGACGCTGTTCAGTCGCTCCTGCCTCAGACGCTGTTCAGTCGCTCCTGCCTCAGACGCTGTTCAGTCGCTCCTGCCCCGACGCTGTTCAGTCGCTCCTGCCGCCGCTGTATCTGTTCAGTCGCTCCTGCCCCAGACGCTGTTCAGTCGCTCCTGCCTCAGACGCTGTTCAGTCGCTCCTGCCCCAGACGCTGTTCAGTCGCTCCTGCCCCAGCCGCTGTTCAGTCGCTCCTGCCGCCGCTGTATCTGTTCAGTCGCTCCTGCCCCAGACGCTGTTCAGTCGCTCCTGCCCCAGACGCTGTTCAGTCGCTCCTGCCGCCGCTGTATCTGTTCAGTCGCTCCTGCCCCAGACGCTGTTCAGTCGCTCCTGTCCCAGACGCTGTTCAGTCGCTCCTGCCGCCGCTGTATCTGTTCAGTCGCTCCTGCCCCAGACGCTGTTCAGTCGCTCCTGTCCCAGCCGCTGTTCAGTCGCTCCTGCCTCAGACGCTGTTCAGTCGCTCCTGCCTCAGACGCTGTTCAGTCGCTCCTGCCTCGGACGCCGTTCAGTCGCTCCTGCCCCAGACGCTGTTCAGTCGCTCCTGCCTCAGACGCTGTTCAGTCGCTCCTGCCCCAGACGCTGTTCAGTCGCTCCTGCCCCAGACGCTGTTCAGTCGCTCCTGCCGCCGCTGTATCTGTTCAGTCGCTCCTGCCCCAGACGCTGTTCAGTCGCTCCTGCCTCAGACGCTGTTCAGTCGCTCCTGCCTCAGACGCTGTTCAGTCGCTCCTGCCTCAGACGCTGTTCAGTCGCTCCTGCCCCGACGCTGTTCAGTCGCTCCTGCCGCCGCTGTATCTGTTCAGTCGCTCCTGCCCCAGACGCTGTTCAGTCGCTCCTGCCTCAGACGCTGTTCAGTCGCTCCTGCCCCAGACGCTGTTCAGTCGCTCCTGCCCCAGCCGCTGTTCAGTCGCTCCTGCCGCCGCTGTATCTGTTCAGTCGCTCCTTCCCCAGACGCTGTTCAGTCGCTCCTGCCTCAGACGCTGTTCAGTCGCTCCTTCCCCAGACGCTGTTCAGTCGCTCCTGCCTCAGACGCTGTTCAGTCGCTCCTGCCTCAGACGCTGTTCAGTCGCTCCTGCCGCCGCTGTATCTGTTCAGTCGCTCCTGCCTCAGACGCTGTTCAGTCGCTCCTGCCGCCGCCGTATCTGTCCAGTCGCTCCTTCCCCAGACGCTGTTCAGTCGCTCCTGCCTCAGACGCTGTTCAGTCGCTCCTGCCCCAGACGCTGTTCAGTCGCTCCTGCCCCAGACGCTGTTCAGTCGCTCCTGCCGCCGCTGTATCTGTTCAGTCGCTCCTGCCCCAGACGCTGTTCAGTCGCTCCTGCCTCAGACGCTGTTCAGTCGCTCCTGCCTCAGACGCTGTTCAGTCGCTCCTGCCTCAGACGCTGTTCAGTCGCTCCTGCCCCGACGCTGTTCAGTCGCTCCTGCCGCCGCTGTATCTGTTCAGTCGCTCCTGCCCCAGACGCTGTTCAGTCGCTCCTGCCTCAGACGCTGTTCAGTCGCTCCTGCTCCAGACGCAGCTGTTCAGTCGCTCCTGCCTCAGACGCTGTTCAGTCGCTCCTGCCCCAGCCGCTGTTCAGTCGCTCCTGCCCCAACGCTGTTCAGTCGCTCCTGCTCCAGACGCACCTGTTCAGTCGCTCCTGCCCCAGCCGCTGTTCAGTCGCTCCTTCCCCAGACGCTGTTCAGTCGCTCCTGCCTCAGACGCTGTTCAGTCGCTCCTGCCTCAGACGCTGTTCAGTCGCTCCTTCCCCAGACGCTGTTCAGTCGCTCCTGCCTCAGACGCTGTTCAGTCGCTCCTGCCTCAGACGCTGTTCAGTCGCTCCTGCCCCGACGCTGTTCAGTCGCTCCTGCCGCCGCTGTATCTGTTCAGTCGCTCCTTCCCCCGAAGCTGTTCAGTCGCTCCTGCCTCAGACGCTGTTCAGTCGCTCCTGCCTCAGACGCTGTTCAGTCGCTCCTTCCCCAGCCGCTGTTCAGTCGCTCCTGCCTCAGACGCTGTTCAGTCGCTCCTGCCCCAGACGCTGTTCAGTCGCTCCTGCCTCAGACGCTGTTCAGTCGCTCCTTCCCCAGCCGCTGTTCAGTCGCTCCTGCCTCAGACGCTGTTCAGTCGCTCCTGCCTCAGCCGCTGTTCAGTCGCTACTCGCTCCTGCCTCAGACGCTGTTCAGTCGCTCCTGCCTCAGACGCTGTTCAGTCGCTACTCGCTCCTGCCTCAGACGCTGTTCAGTCGCTCCTTCCCCAGCCGCTGTTCAGTCGCTCCTGCCTCAGACGCTGTTCAGTCGCTCCCGCTCCAGACGCCGCTGTGTCAGGGGCTCAGCGCCACTGGTCAGTCGGTCCTGCCTGACACTGTCCCTTGCTCGGGGCGCCGCCGGGCGGGTCGCTTCGGCATGGTACCGGCTGGACACGCTACCTCACCTGCCATTGGCGTTCAGTCGGTGCCGCGGCTGGTACTCTGTCGCCGGTGTGTGCGCCGCCGGTGTCTGTGTGTCAGTATCTGTATTCTGTACCGTGCGCCGCAGGTGGTGTGTCAGTATCTGTATGTGTACCGTCCGCCGTCAGGTGTTCCGATCTCGGAGCAGAGGTGTCAGTGTGTCTGCGTCAGTGTGTCGTTATGTCCCCCCGCCCGCAGGTGTTCCGATCTCGGAGCAGAAGGTGTCGTTATGTCGTTATGTCGCCCGGCAGGTGTTCCGATCTCGGAGCAGAAGGTGTCAGTGTCTTTGTCAGTGTGTCTGTGTCAGTGTGTCGTTATGTCGTTGTGTCGCCCCGGCAGGTGTTCCGATCTCGGAGCAGAAGGTGTCAGTGTGTCTGTGTCAGTGTGTCTGTGTCAGTGTGTCAGTGTCTGTGTGTCTGTGTCAGTGTGTCGTTATGTCCCCGCCCGGCAGGTGTTCCGATCTCGGAGCAGAAGGTGCGCGGCTCTGTGTCAGTGTGTCGTTATGTTGTTATGTCCCCCCCGCAGGTGTTCCGATCTCGGAGCAGAAGGTGCGCGGCTCTGTGTCAGTGTGTCGTTCTGTCGCCCGGCAGGTGTTCCGATCTCGGAGCAGAAGGTGCGCGGCTCGGCCTACATCAAGCCTCTGGATGATGAGGAGGTCGAGGGTATGCGCGTGGCCTGCCGACTGGGCCGAGAGGTGCTGGAGGAGGCGGCCGCCGCCGTCAGCGTGGGCACCACCACCGACCACATCGACCGCATCGTCCACGAGGCCTGCATAGAGAGGTGGGGCATAGACCAGAGGCCTGTGTAGAGAGAGGGACCAGAGGCCTGCATAGAAAGGTGGGACATAGACCAGAGGCCTGCGTAGAGAGGTGGGACGTAGACCAGAGGCCTGCGTAGAGAGGTGGGACACAGACCAGAGGTCTGTGTTGAGAGGTGGGACACAGACCAGAGGTCTGTGTTGAGAGGTGGGACACAGACCAGAGGCCTGCATAGAGCAAAACTGACAGAGGGGCTCGGCGGACCAGATCACCGTGGTGAAATGAGATTAGGGGTTATTCTCCTAACTTTAACCCGTTCGACTAAGGCATGCTACGCGTTTGCAGCATAAGCTCTAGGCCACTTCTCATCCCAACCTGGAGTCGCTGAAGATTCGCATCATGACAGTATAGGAGGACCAGGAAATGTCCTACATCGTCAAATACGCAGGCGCTTCCACCCCCGTGTCAAGGCTGTCGTCGGCACAGACGGTGGTTACATTGAATAAGCACTTAGCGGGAGTTATGTGGCTTGATGTCCCTGGCCATTGTTTGGATCTACGATTGAGTGTCTATGAATCAAAGGCATTTGCTTTAAAAAAAAAGTTGAAAACGCCAGGACTTCCCGGATACCCTGTAGAGAGGTGGAAACTGGGATCAGAGACCAGAGGTCTGCATGAAGAGGTGGGACCGGGGTATGATGGTGACAAGTATTAAACATTACCGTCATCGGTAAGGCTTATGGATCTAGGGCTGAGCAGTTGGACCACACATCTGTCCAGTGTACAGTGTGTGTGTGTGGGGGGGGGGGGGGGCGGGCCTGTATAGACGGCCTGGGCCGGCGGGCTGACGATACTGGGCGTGTGTCGTGCCGCGCTGACCGGCGTGTGACCTGACCTGGCCGGGGTACTGGCCGGCCGGCAGTGAGGCCGCCTCTGTAACTGACCTTCCCCCCCCCCGTGTCACAGGGAGTGCTACCCGTCTGTGTCTGACCGCCCCTTCCCCCCCCCCCGTGTCACAGGGAGTGCTACCCGTCGCCGCTCAACTACTACCAGTTCCCCAAGAGCTGCTGCACCTCTGTCAACGAGGTCATCTGCCACGGGATACCGGACGCGCGGCCGCTCCAGTCGGGAGACATCTGCAACGGTCAGTGGCGGGCGGTCGCGGCGGTCCAACGGTCAGGGGCGGTCGGTCGCGGCGGACCAACGGTCAGCCGCAGTGAACTTGTGGTCAGTCACGGCAGCAGTCAGTGACACGGTGACGTCTTTCACCATTGGCCATGTATCTACATATAACGTCTGCTGACATATTGTTTGGCCTCTGCTAACCCGTCTGTGACCCCCCACCGACCGATGTGTGACCCCACTGACCGATGTGTGACCTCCACTGACCGGTGTGTGACCTCCACTGACCGGTGTGTGACCTCTGACCGGTGTGTGACCTCCACTGACCGGTGTGCCGCCAGTGGACGTTACCGTCTACCACCGCGGCTTCCACGGCGACCTGAACGAAACGTACCTGGTGGGCGAGGTGAGCGCAGAGGCGCGCGACCTGGTCACCGTCACCTGGCAGTGCCTCCAGAAGGCCATCGACATCGGTACGTACCGGCTTTCCCTACCTCCGACCCTCCCTTGTATACAGACCAGTACCTCCAGAAGGCCATCGACATCGGTACGTGCCTGCGGACCGGCCCTCGCTCCCTCCCCCGGCCCTCCCTCCCCCGTATACAGGGTGAAATGGCTAAATTGAGACAAATTTGGTTCTTCGATAAACTGCTGCGGATTCGCCGATTAACCGTCGCCGGGGTGCTCTGTATGGTCAGTAACTGTCCCCATATGCCCGCTGTTAGGGTGCTCTGTGTGGTCACTGACTGCCCCCTCCGCCGCCGGGGTGCAGCTCTGTATGGTCAGTAACTGCCCCCTCCGCCGCCCGGGTGCAGCTCTGTGAGGTCACTGACTGCCCCCTCCGCCGCCCGGGTACTCTGTGTGGTCACTGACTGCCCCCTCCGCCGCCCGGGTGCAGCTCTGTATGGTCACTGACTGCCCCCTCCGCCGTCGCCAGTGCGGCCCGGGTGCAGGTCTTTGTGTGGTCACTGACGGCCCCCTCCGCCGCCGCCAGTGCGGCCCGGCGAGAAGTACCGTGAGATCGGTCCCCTCCACTGTCCGCCCGCCGCCCGGGTGCAGCTCCGTATGGTCACTGACTGCCCCCTCCGCCGCCGGGGTACCGTGTATGGCCACTGACGGCCCCCTCCGCCGCCGCCAGTGCGGCCCGGCGAGAAGTACCGTGAGATCGGTCCCCTCCGCTGTCCGCCCGCCGCCCGGGTGCAGCTCCGTATGGTCACTGACTGCCCCCTCCGCCGCCGGGGTACCGTGTATGGCCACTGACTGCCCCCTCCGCCGCCGCCAGTGCGGCCCGGCGAGAAGTACCGTGAGATCGGTCCCCTCTGACTGCCCCCTCCGCCGCCGCCAGTGCGGCCCGGCGAGAAGTACCGTGAGATCGGTCCCCTCCTCTGTCCGCCCGCCGCCCGGGTGCAGCTCCGTATGGTCACTGACTGCCCCCTCCGCCGCCCGGGTGCAGCTCCGTATGGTCACTGACTGCCCCCTCCGCCGCCCGGGTGCAGCTCCGTATGGTCACTGACTGCCCCCTCCGCCGCCCGGGTACAGGTCTGTGTGGTCACTGACTGCCCCCTCCGCCGCCGGGGTGCTCTGTATGGTCACTGACTGCCCCCTCCGCCGCCGCCAGTGCGGCCCGGCGAGAAGTACCGTGAGATCGGTAACGTGGTACAGAAGCACGCCTCGGAGCGCGGCTACTCTGTGGTGCGCTCCTACTGCGGCCACGGCATCCACCGGCTCTTCCACTGCAGCCCCAACGTGCCCCACTACGCCCGGAACAAGGCAGCAGGCGTGATGCGGCCCGGGCACTGCTTCACCATAGAGCCCATGATATCGCAGGGTGAGTCACTTACTGAACACAGAGTCCATGGTATCGCAGGGTGAGTCACTTACTGAACACCAGAGCTGGGCGCGTTCCTCGATTTTCGGTAGTGCGTTAGCGTTCCTGCGTTCCTCCGGCCGCGGTTAGTGCGTTCCTGGAATAACGTTCCTCATTTTTTTTCGCTCGGTGCGTTAGCGTTCCTGCGTTCCTGCGTTCCTCCCTCAAAAATACCGCCGAACCACGCGGCGCAGGCCCAACCAAACACGGGGCGAATCGATCACAGAATACCCAGAATGGCGACGTGGGGCCGAAAAGCAGCTCGACATCTCTTTTCCGAATCGAATATCTGAAATACGTTTTACCAATATCATCCGTAGGGTTTTCAACAAAAATACGACCTGCTTAAAAACAATAGTTAAGTTAAAAGATGTATCTTAGTAAAAGTTATCATATTTACTTTACACATTTAATGCCTGAAACTGAATCGAACAGTAAACATCACCTCTAAAAATCTTTACACATTTAATGCCTGAAACCGAATCGAATAGTAAACATCAGCACTAAATCTAAGCAAGCCTTCCTCGATTCGACCGACAAGTGGCGCCTCTACCGGCAAACACACTCGAGATTCAAACATTTGACACAGAGGTCATTGGCAGCAATATAATTTTTCGGGTGGTTCCGCAAGAAGGCAGGAACGCTTCAAAATTTCGGGTGGTGCGTTCCTCTTACTTGCGTTCCTTTGAAAAAAAAACTTTGCGTTCCTGCGTTCTTGCGTTCCTAAAAAGGGCGGTGCGTACGTACGGAAGAACGGAGGAACGCACTAAAGGAACGCACTTGCCCAGCTCTGCTGAACACAGAGCCCATGATATTGCAGGGTGAGTCACTATCGCACCATAGGGTAATAACTAACCCACCATAGAGCCCATGATGTCGCAGGGTGAAAGACCAACTGAATGCCCCCGTGATCCCCGCCCTGTCCCAGCCCTGTGACCCCTGACCGGTGCCGTATCACAGTCTGACCGCTCTGACCGGCGCCGTGTGACAGTCCCCTGACCGCTGTGCCCGGCGCTCCGCCAGGGACGTGGCGCGACGAGCAGTGGCCCGATAACTGGACGGCCGTCACCGCCGACGGAAAGCTGTCGGCCCAGTTCGAGCACACACTGCTGGTCACAGGTGAGACCGACGGACAGACAGACAGACAGACAGCGCAGTTCGAGCACACACTGCTGGTCACAGGTGAGACGGACGGACGGACAGACAGACAGACAGACAGACAGACAGACAGACAGACAGACAGACAGCGCAGTTCGAGCACACACTGCTGGTCACAGGTGAGACGGACGGACGGACAGACAGACAGACAGACAGACAGACAGACAGACAGACAGACAGACAGCGCAGTTCGAGCACACACTGCTGGTCACAGGTGAGACGGACGGACGGACAGACAGACAGACAGACAGACAGACAGACAGACAGACAGACAGACAGACAGCGCAGTTCGAGCACACACTGCTGGTCACAGGTGAGACGGACGGACGGACGGACGGACGGACAGACAGACAGACAGACAGACAGACAGACAGCGCAGTTCGAGCACACACTGCTGGTCACAGGTGAGACCGACGGACAGAGTGACAGACTACTAGACAGACAGACAGACAGACATACAGCGCAGTTCGAGCACACACTGCTGGTCACAGGTGAGACGGACGGACGGACAGACAGACAGACAGACAGACAGACAGACAGACAGACAGACAGCGCAGTTCGAGCACACACTGCTGGTCACAGGTGAGACGGACGGACGGACAGACAGACAGACAGACAGACAGACAGACAGACAGACAGACAGACAGCGCAGTTCGAGCACACACTGCTGGTCACAGGTGAGACGGACGGACGGACGGACGGACGGACAGACAGACAGACAGACAGACAGACAGACAGCGCAGTTCGAGCACACACTGCTGGTCACAGGTGAGACCGACGGACAGAGTGACAGACTACTAGACAGACAGACAGACAGACATACAGCGCAGTTCGAGCACACACTGCTGGTCACAGGTGAGACGGACGGACGGACAGACGGACAGACGGACGGACGGACGGACGGACGGACGGACGGACGGACGGACGGACAGACGGACATGGCACTGTGTGACACGGTGCCGCTGTGTAGAGTGTGTGACCCGGTGCCGCTCTGTAGCGTTCGTGACCCGGTGCCGCTGTGTAGTGTGTGTGACCCGGTGCCGCTCTGTAGTGTGTGTGACCTGTTGCCCCTACATAGCGTTTGTGACCCGGTGCCACTTTGTAGTGACTGTGTGACCCGCTGCCCGTACATAGCGTTTGTGACCCGATGCCGCTCTGTAGCGTTTGTGACCCGGTGCCGCTGTGTAGTGTGTGTGTGACCTGTTGCCTCTCTGTAGTGTTTGTGACCTGTTGCCCCTACATAGCGTTTGTGACCCGGTGCCGCTCTGTAGTGTTTGTGACCCAGTGCCGCTGTATAGTGTTTGTGTGACCAAGTACCGCTCTGTAGTGTGTGTGACCCTCTGCACCTATATAGCGTTTGTGACCCGGTGCCGCTCTGTAATGTGTGTGACCTGTTGCCCCTACATAGCGTTCGTGACCCGGTGCCGCTGTGTAGTGTGTGTGACCCGGTGCCGCTCTGTAGTGTGTGTGACCTGTTGCCCCTACATAGCGTTTGTGACCCGGTGCCACTTTGTAGTGTGTGTGACCCGGTGTCCCTACATAGCGTTTGTGACCCGGTGCCGCTGTGTAGTGTGTGTGACCCGGTGCCGCTGTATAGTGTGTGTGTGACCTGTTGCCCCTACATAGCGTTTGTGACCCGGTGCCGCTGTGTAGTGTGTGTGACCCGGTGCCGCTGTATAGTGTGTGTGACCTGTTGCCCCTACATAGCGTTTGTGACCCGGTGCCGCTCTGTAGTGTGTATGACCCGCTGCCCCTATATACCGTGTGTGACCCGGTGCCGCTGTGTAGTGTGTGTGACCCGGTGCCGCTGTGTATAGTGTGTGTGACCCGGTGCCGCTGTGTAGTGTGTGTGACCCGGTGCCGCTCTGTAGTGTGTGTGACCCGGTGCCGCTGTATAGTGTGTGACCCGGTGCCGCTGTATAGTGTGACCTGTTGCCGCTGTGTATAGTGTGTGACCCGGTGCCGCTGTGTAGTTTGTGTGACCCGTTGCCCCTCTGTAGTGTTTGTGACCCGGTGCCGCTCTGTAGTGTTTGTGACCCGGTGCCGCTGTGTATAGTGTGTGTGACCTGTTGCCGCTGTATATAGTGTGTGTGACCCGGTGCCGCTATATATGTAGTGTTTGTGACCCGGTGCCGCTGTGTGTAGTGTGTGTGACCCGGTGCCGCTGTGTAGTGTGTGTGACCCGGTGCCGCTGTGTATAGTGTGTGTGACCCGGTGCCGCTCTGTAGTGTGTGTGACCCGGTGCCCCTATATAGTGTGTATGACCCGCTGCCCCTATATACCGTGTGTGACCCGGTGCCGCTGTGTGTAGTGTGTGTGACCCGGTGCCGCTGTGTAGTGTGTGTGACCCGGTGCCGCTGTGTGTAGTGTGTGTGACCCGGTGCCGCTGTGTAGTGTGTGTGACCCGGTGCCGCTGTGTAGTGTGTGTGACCCGGTGCCCCTATATATAGTGTGTGTGACCCGGTGCCGCTCTAGTGTTTATGACCCGGTGCCGCTGCGCCCGCAGAGACCGGAGTGGACGTACTCACCAAGCGGGAAGGCACCACGCTGCCGCGCTTCCTGGACTCGTCCTCGTGATGGCCGGCCGCCCGGCGCCCCGCCCCGCCCGCCGCGGGCTCCCCTGCTGTGCCGTGTTATCAATAAATTGTGCCGCTGAGCCGGCGTGTCCCTGTCCCGCCGCGCGGGCTGAACCCACACCGGGATGTGAATCGTCGGCACCCCGGGTCAGAACAGCCCGCCGCGTGACTAGTGAATACAATGTGTAACTCGCGCTAACATAATGTCTAAGCCTGACCGGACTTTACGGCACACACGGGGTATCGACGGAAGACGAACGAGGGTTCAGCCGACTGAGGGCACCCTCCACTGAGCACTGAGCTGCGGTCTCGTGATCAGTACGGTAATGGTTCTCGGTGAATCGCCCTCGTTCCAGCAGCGAACTGTGGCCGCTGATCGGTGTGAGGTCTGTGACAGTGTGACGGGTCAGCTGGTCACCCAGCCCCCGAGCCGGGCCAGACCAGACCGTGTCACCATCAGTCCCAGACGAAACAGTCGCCCCACTACGAATCTCGCCCAATGTATTCACCGAACGGAAACCCACTGCCGTAACATGGTCACACCAACCAACCAATCATCAACGACCTCGCACCGACCGGCCAATCACCGCGCGGTGCCAGCTCCCTCGGCCAATCAGAGCGCGGCGTCAGCGTACGTGAGCCAATCAGACCGCAGGAGCGACACGTGGATTCGCGGGTTCGATCCTTTACAGTGACAGAGTTTTCACGGCACGGAGTGCCCGCACGATCCGCCCGGCGGTTGTCCGATGAAGCCGCGGACACTGGAAGCTCGGGGTGAACAGTGGCGCGCCGTCCCCGGTCCGGCGGCGCGGGGCCGGCCAGCGTCCGGCCTGGTACGACTTCCCCCGGCGGCCAGAGCCGACCAACACCACAGACGGCGCACACGCCGCGCCGGCGGGCAGCGCCGCCTCCTACGAGCAGGCCCGCCGCCTATAACGGGCGGGCCCGCGTCTTACAACCAGCAGGCCCTCCAATAACGAGCAGACCCTCCCATAACGGACAGACCCTCCTATAACGAGCGGGCCCGCTTGAGCAGTCTCGGCGTAACGGACAACAGACGCCGGCGGGGCCGGTAGTGGCGCGGCGCGGCGCGGCGGGCGGCCAGGCGCCGTCCTAACACACACACACACACACACGGAGACGATCCCCCGGGCCGGGCGCCGCCCCTAACACAGACACACACACAGACGGTCCCCCGGGCCGGGCCACTCTGACTGACTGCCCGGTCCTAGCCGGGCCTGGCCTCGTACCGCACACGCCGCATCACCGCGCCAGACAGTCGCATATCACGCGTACCAGACAGCCTGATTGGCTCAGATGCTCACCGCTCCGCAACGCACGGGAAGCACACCTCACACCTGCCTTAACTCCGCACCGGTCACCCGGGATCACACGTCACACACTGATCACCTGTCACACACCGATCACCCGGACTCACACCGATCACCCGGGGGTCACATTTCACACATCAATCACCTTTCCTCTGCACCTCTCTACCAATAGTCGCTCTCCACTCACCGAGTCTATCAGAGACCGCCAGTCGCAACAATCAACACTCGCCGGCGTCCAGTCACAACGCAGAGCCAACAACTGATCGGAGACAGCGCTGAGCACAGACTGATCGCGGGTCCTAATTGAAAGGATATCTCTCGGCTGACCGCTAAAAAGCCGCACAGAACACCCCATTGCCGTCCAAAATTACACCGCACACAAGGGATCATGAACTGTAGCGCCAACCCAGTACAGGGGTAACTCAGCCGGCGAGAGAAACCTGACGGCGGAAAGACTGGGTGGTCTGCTGTGGAGCGGCCGGCCAGCCGGGTCCCTGGGCCGGCCAGTTCCGGGTCCGGGTCCGGGTCTCTGGACCGGCCAGTTCCGGGTCCGGGTCCCCGGGCCGGCCAGACGGAGGCTTGGGGCGTCTCTCGGAGCGAGCGGAGAACGGGAGCACCGCGTCCTGACTGAGCGCTGCACAGGAGAGGAACACAGCACAGACACAATAGACAGCAGACACAGCACAGACAATAGACACGGTGGTAGTACGGCAGACACAAGAAGACGGCAGACACACTAGGAACACGGCTGGCGCGGGAGCAGGCACGCAGCAGCGGCGGCCGACACGGCCGGACGCGGAATGGGCGTTATGGAGGAGTTCAGCCGACGCCAGACTGGCAGCCGGGAGGGAAACGGGATATACGTAGTTGCATGGAAGCTACGGAAACCCACGAGGCTATCGAGGGTTTTATGGTCATATACGATCAAACCTGTCGAATCTCAAGGGATATAAATTGGCCGAGGCTGGGCAGCGGGCAGTGATCGGGAGGGCCCCGGTGGGTGTGAGGATCCCTTATCTCTTTAGGTGTGAGGGTCCCCGCTAGGTGTGAGGGTCCGTTCACCAGGAGCGGGAGGACCCCGCCCGCGGGGGACGGGACAGGCCGGACCAGGGAGGCCCGGCCGGCCGGCTGTAGCCGCCGCGGGCCCCCACAGAGGCAGTGATACCGTCCGGCTGAGTGGACAGGTATGCATATCACCGGCAGCCGGGCCGGCCACCGCGCCCCTCCGTACCACCGAGAACACGACCGTCAGCCCAGCAGTCGACGGGTAACCGGCGCCCAGCTAAATCAGTCGTAAAACACTGCGCAGTCAATAGTGATATCAATCAGATGGTCAATAATCAGTAATTCATTCATGTCATGACCTAAGAAACAGAAAACGATTGTGTCCGGGGAGTAATAACACGCCGCTGCCGGAGGCGGGCAGCGGGCAGGACCCTGTTCACGCGGACACACACACACAGACACACAGCCAGAGGCGGCGGGGGCGGGTCACCAGCCGTCCCAGACCAGACAGGAGGTACAGAGACGCAGCCGGACAGACACCGACCCAACACCGCAACCGCTCACACACCCTCCGACAACAGACTGCAGGACGAGACTATAAAAACACCGAGAGGTGACGACCTAAAACCAACTCATACCGCCCACCGCAGGGCCGCATATCAGAGGAGACGTAACCGAGCGTAACACCCTGTCAGTGGACGGGCGTAACACCCTGTCAGTGGACGGGACTGCGGCCGCCCGCGACCGGCACTCGCGTGGCTGGACATTGGACTGTGCGCCAGCAGCGCCCTCAGAACAGACACCAGTCTGTGAGGTCACCGCAATAGAGTGCCAGTTCAGACTGACACACCGGGGTCCGGCCCTCACTGCCCCAGACTGACACGGGAGTTCGGACCTTACAGTCTCTCACACCGGCCGGCACACGCGCGGACAGTCTCACACCGGCCGGCACAGTCTCTGGCAGCACGGGAGCCCCGCCCCGGCGGCGGCAGACAGTCTCTGGCAGAGGCGGAGCCCGTCCGCGCCTTGGTTCTAGCCTAGCGCGCCGGCGACCCTCAGGTGGTCTTTTCGCTGCGCTCCGGCTTGCTCTTGAGCAACGAGAGCAGCGAATTGAGACTGAACTGGGTGTTGAGCGGCTTCTCCAGGTGGGCGGGCGGCAGATGGATCTGAGGGGAGACACAGAGACACAGACAGACTGTCAGACAGAGAGAGAGACAGAGACACAGAGAGGCTGTCAGACGGAGAGAGACAGAGACACGGATAGGCTGTCAGACGGAGAGAGACAGAGACACAGACTGTCAGACGGAGAGAGACAGAGACACAGGCTGTCAGACGGAGAGAGACAGAGACACAGACTGTCAGACGGAGAGAGACAGAGACACGGACAGGCTGTCAGACGGAGAGAGACAGAGACACAGACTGTCAGACGGAGAGAGACAGAGACACAGGCTGTCAGACGGAGAGAGACAGAGACACAGACTGTCAGACGGAGAGAGACAGAGACACGGACTCAGACGGAGAGAGACAGAGACACGGACAGGCTGTGAGACGGAGAGAGACAGAGACACAGGCTGTCAGACGGAGAGAGACAGAGACACGGACTGTCAGACGGAGAGAGACAGAGACACGGAATGTCAGACGGAGAGAGACAGAGACACGAACTGTCAGACGGAGAGAGACAGAGACACGGACTGTCAGACGGAGAGAGACAGAGACACAGAGAGGCTGTCAGACGGAGAGAGACAGAGACACAGACTGTCAGACGGAGAGAGACAGAGACACGTAGAGGCTGTCAGACGGAGAGAGACAGAGACACGGGGAGGCTGTCAGACGGAGAGACACAGAGACACGGAGAGGCTGTCAGACGGAGAGAGACAGAGACACAGAGAGGATGTCAGACGGAGAGAGACAGAGACACGGACTGTCAGACGGAGAGAGACAGAGACACAGGCTGTCAGACGGAGAGAGACAGAGACACAGACTGTCAGACGGAGAGAGACAGAGACACGGACTCAGACGGAGAGAGACAGAGACACGGACAGGCTGTGAGACGGAGAGAGACAGAGACACAGGCTGTCAGACGGAGAGAGACAGAGAAACGGACTGTCAGACGGAGAAAGACAGAGACATGGACTGTCAGACGGAGAGAGACAAAGACACGGACAGGCTGTGAGACGGAGAGAGACAGAGACACAGGATGCCAGACGGAGAGAGACAGAGACACAGAGAGGATGTCAGACGGAGAGAGACAGAGACACAGACAGGCTGTCAGACGGAGAGAGACAGAGACACGGGGAGACTGTCAGACGGAGAGACACAGAGACACGGAGAGGCTGTCAGACGGAGAGAGACAGAGACACAGAGAGGATGTCAGACGGAGAGAGACAGAGACACAGACAGGCTGTCAGACGGAGAGAGACAGAGACACGGGGAGGCTGTCAGACTGAGAGACACAGATAGGCTGTCAGACGGAGAGAGACAGAGACACGGGCAGGCTGTCAGACGGAGAGAGACACAGAGACACAGATTGTCAGACGGAGAGAGACAGAGACACGGACAGACTGTCAGACGGAGAGAGAGAGACAGAGACACGGACTTTCAGACGGAGAGAGACAGAGACACGGACAGGCTGTAAGACGAGAGACACAGACTGTCACATACGGAGAACGAAGAGACAGAGACAGAGACACGGAGAGAGAGAGAGAGAGAGAGAGA